GCTCTTAATAACACTTATTATCTCCTCTGGCCTCGTGGAAGGCCTTAAGTCGCCTAGGCATTGAATAAATAAATGATCGGATTTCGTCTTGTGAGTAATGCCATTCTTCAACAGTAACGTTTTGAAACTACAGCTTATTGGACGCGGCGAATGATGTCTAACCAGTCTCTTTATCATGTCCCAAAATGTTCTATGAGATTCATGTCGGGAGAATATGCTGGCCAATTCATTATGGTCATCCCTACATCCTCCAAGTAATGGGTGGCACCTCGAGCTACATGCAGTCAAGCATTATCATGCATTGGCACTAAATGGAGCGAATGGGACCACAGCTTCCTCGGTGTGGATTAATTCTGCATTCTAAGATCATTCTTAGTATGGGCCCCTAACATTATGGACCATTTGGAGTTGAATACCTATCAGGGAGCCTTTAAATGACTGTTCCGTAGTGCTTTAAGAGTAATACATCGTCTCTAGCCATCGTACATCGAGGTCGATCACAACCTCTTCAATCGAAAATTCCACAGGCCCTAACCACAGTGGACCATCGTGGTTGGTAGAGTGAGGCACACCCAAGATTTGGGCTATGTAACCGACACTAGGTCCATCACTGGACAAAGCATCTGCCTGGGCGAAATCTGGACTTAAAACCATGCTTTTAAGAAAAAATATTAATTTTTTTACACAATATTTATTGTTCCATCAAAGAAAACAATTTAATAAACTAATTAACTCAAAGACTGTAAACTGATCAGTAACACTGTAAAGATAAACAAGTTATTAACATTGTGATAACATTTTAAGTCAATTATTAAACTTTATACCTAGTTATTTTTTGTAAAGTAGTGTTTCTTTGGTATAACTTCAGATATTATTTATATGGTCACTTTGGCTAGAATGACAACAAAATTTTCAGTTGTTTTGTATATAAACGTGCAAATGTTAGAATCTTTAGAGTAGTAGTTTGTAGTCAATTCTTGCCCATTTTGGGTAGCTAGCTACCAATATGAAGGGCTACGTTTTGTACAATTTGAAGTGTTTTATAATTGAAGGGGTCAGGGGAAAAACAGTACATCTCCATTTTTCTAAATTTTACAGGAGAGCAAAAAATCGATTTACCATTATGTTTGAAGCACTAGGCTGTTCTTAAAAATTTAATGAAAAATACAGCTATTAAATTTAAACACCTTTCACATCAAATCAAAAATTAAATATTGAAAATATTTTTGCAATATGGATAAATTTTCATTTGGAAAAACAAATCGTGTACTTAGCCTGTTTTTCCCCACAACGTTTCAATTGCNAGGTGGTAGAGCAGTGGCGTATCTAGCCGAAGATCGTGGGTTCGAATCCCACTCGTGCTATTGACTTTTTTTCGTCTCAACTAAAAACCTTAATTAATTATGATGATAATGATGAATATGGATACTAGAACGTGGGTTTTGTGTTCCTAAGCAGTACAGCCTTCTAGCTTATTGCACTTTTCCTAGTTTGTTGGTTCATTGCAATCGACTCGATCCTCCTCCTAAGGAGTACTACTAGGTCATTGCTACAATTCCTTTCCCTGAGTTTCCTTTGTTTGTCTCCATTGATCAATTACATTGCATTCAAACATAATAGATGGCTGCTTCTTGTTCTCATTGCATAACGTAGAAGGGAGTTCATGATTGAATATACCATATTATGTAGATGTTTTCTCAGATGCAAGTGACCAGTATGTAGTCCTACCACTCCTCTGAGTTTAGACCTCCCTAAATGTAGCAGCAAGTTTACCAGTATTGGTGAGAGTTGTTTTAGCAAAAGTTTACTTTGTCTAGCACCTCTAGAGTTTACCCACTTCTCCTTTTGTCTTTTTTGGATCCAATCTAGATAAAGGAGTTCATGTTTGCTTTTGACATCCCAAGAATTTAAGTTTTGTAGATCCTCCTCTGGCCAGTTTGTCTGCCTTTCTGTTACCAAAAACTCCTTTTGTCCAGGCACACAAGATATCACCAGCGACTTTAACTATGACTTGATAATGTAGTTGAGAGTGTCTGCAAGGGAAGAGAATTGACTCAAGTCTTCATCGGGATAAATCCTCCATTTTTTAAGCATTTCTTAAGTTAAAGATAATATTTTACCTATCATACTGACCTTGCTGTTTGAAGATTTAGGAAAGGTGGTGTCATCTGTAAATAATCCAAATTCCACCGTTCTTCCAAAGAAAATTGAACAAAAATGTTTTATAAATAAGACTCCTGTGCAAAAGACAATGAAAATGCATTTTCTATGTCGATTAAGACCATTCCACATGTTTATTTGAATTTAAATTATGGATGATCAAGTCTGTAATTTTAGCGAGTTGCAATGTAGTGGAATGTTTTGGTATGAACTCTTTAATGGTGTAAAAAAAATTTAAAATGGCAAATGGCAATTTCCGATGCCTGGAATCACTTTTAATTTAACAAATGTCGTCAATTTGGCTCATAAACTTAAATCATTCCACGAATTTTAAACATTGTATGCAATCATATTGTAAAAGGATTCATTCTGTTTATTTTATTTTTCCCTTTTTTGTTATTTGAGTTTTGAGTAACACCTGTCACGTGCATGGAAAGAAGAAATTGGGGCGATTGCTTATCTTTACTATCGCAATTGGAAAATTTTCTCTTTACACTGCCTCATCATATGAATTTAAAAATCATTTGGTTCTGGAACAATTTATTATTATGTAGGTTTTTAAAATTGAAATTAGGTGTATTAGGAGCTTACTGTAACTTGCCGTTTTTTGTTTTGTTTTTTTAATTTTTATTTTAAAGGTCTTATGAAGTATGAACTTTGCGTATTAGCCAAGGAACATGATGATTATATAACCTACATTATAATGAATCCATAATGGAAAACAAAAGGATAGGAAAAAATTAAAATAAAAAACCATTCTGCAAATCTAATTTAATTTTTACTTTTTCTTTTGCACTCTGGACTTGAAAAAAAAATTAAGCTCCTAGTTTTAATTAAACAATTGCTCAAAGGAAGATCTAAATATAGACTGTAATTAGAGAGACAAAGTGATGTAAAAAATATCATTGTAGAAAGGTGGACTTGTTTCATCTCTGCCTCTTGCCTACCAGAGCAATTAAAAAAGGTAAAAACAGGCAACCACAAGATAAATTTTCTTGATGAAGATCCCATGATGATTTCAAATTTAATTTTACCCTTTCAAGCAACGAGAAAAAAAGTTTCATACAATATGCTCAACAGTTCCACTGCACTCTGTATAGCTAGATCTATCATTGTATTCCACATTTATTCTTTTTTTTTTTTTACTTAAACTGAGTTAAACTTGATCTTTGACCAATGAGTTCATGGATTGATCCAACTACAGAAAACTACATTATATAATTTTCTATTTCAAGATTATTTAACAAAAATATGGAAACATTAATGATATATTTGAGACCAATTGAAGGAAAACTATTTACAACCAAGAGTCTACTCCACCATACCAAACCTAAGTTCTTGGTTAAGGTAAGCACTAAGCTGGTTTTCACCTCGTCTTCACAGATAGAAATCTAGGACCAGCGAAGGTGCATCTCCTTCATGGTCACTCCCTCTGCATTACACAGCAGAATTGCTTACAATTTGGCACTGCTTGAGGTGATTGACGGTGGAGGTTCTGTTTATCTTGTCTGCAAGGAACATGTCCAGTAAAACTGTCAAGCACGTCCTCTCAGCACGGTTACTGCTGCCCAGGACAGGTCCCCAATCATCCCTCTCGTTGTACTCTTTTTGGAAACGTACCATGAACTGGAGTATCTTGGCAAAACTGTTATCTAGGTACCCTGACATATAGGTCTGGAGGGTAACAAAAAGGCAGATGAGATGGCTAAGGCCCAAACTCCAGACTTAACCGAACTAACTGGGTCGGTAGAGAAGCTTTCACCTATGAAGAGCATTTTCAATAGGTGGTCATAGAAGTACCTGGATGTACCAAAAGGTTGCTCAACATGCCCTTCCTAATTGAAGGGTGCAATTCCTTGGCTTCATATAGTGTGAGTAGGAATGCCACCTGGTATGAGATCATGCTTGAGCATAGCATCTGGGTTCCCTGTTCCAATTGTGGGGGGAAACGAAGTTTTTTATTGCATGTAGTACTGATGGTTTTATGATCCAAGTATGTTGAAAGTGGATGTGTGAGAAGGCCAATGGTAGAAATTTGAGTACCCGACTGACCCTCAATTAGGTTCGTTATACGAGAGGATTAAAGGGTGATGGAGGAATGTCGAGTACTCCACCTCACCAATCGGGGGAATGGTATTTCAGTAAGAAAGAATGTATTTCAGAGTGAGTGAGAGTGGATTTAGAGACTAAGTGTATCAGGGGCTGAAAGCTGTTGATAGCTTCTGGTGCCCAACCAACCAACTCCATGTGTGCAAAGTTGAGCTTTCAAACTGCCAAATATTTACGATAAAAATATTAAAATTCTATCAATTTTCTTTATTGTTCTGTTTTACATTTAATACAATAGCACAACACATACACAGACACTTATTCAACAAACCAGTATTTTGATATTTATGATACATTTTTTAAATTATGATACTTTCTTTTATACATTTTCTTACAATTAAAATTTCATATATTTTATATATATTTATATATATAATGATATTGATATTGGTTCAACGATTACTACAAATTCATTTATAAAATATTTTAGAATAAAGAAATAAATATAAGTCTTGTTTAATTAGTTCTAAAAACTTAAAATTAGATAACAAAACATGAAACTTAAAGCTAGGAAGTAAAAAATTTAAACTGTTTGTATTAAAAAAAAGAAGAGGAATGTAAATTAAAAAAAAAAAACAGTTTAAGGCTAGGCCAGTTGAACTGAAACCTTTTATTTGCCTTTACTTAATTTCAAATTTCCTATTACTATTATTTTAAATTCAAAGTGATTCACAACGTTACTTTCTTAATAGTATATACAAGAAAAAAGAGTCAAAAATAGCTTGATTTCCAAATTGGCAGTTTCAATTCAAAAATAATGCAAGAATAATTGTATCATTTATGTGAATATATGTAAAAAAACATTTTGCCTCACAAAATATATCAACTACAATACAATTTCCTGATCTAATATGTGATTTTGTTTTTACATTCTCAATTTTGAATATTACTATACTGTGTAATGTAATTTTTTTTTGTTCGAGTATTATAACAAAAAAAATCTATCTTTACAGGACCTATAATCAGACTAAGTGGGAGGATTTAAGGGAGAACACCGAAGAGAGAAAAGATAATATTTCTAATACAAACAGGAATGTATTATTCCAAAGCAGGACTGAACGGGAGAAGAAAAAAACAATTTGCAATTTGAAGGAAACAAAGGCAGAGGCTTGACTAGTGAAAGACATCCGCAGGAAGACATTTTAAAGTTACATTTTTGATTACTTAACAGTTACAACTACTTATACTGGAGGAATTACCGACGAATGGCCCATAGGTGCTGCGCCATCTACAAGGTTTGATCTGATACCACCTGACATCTGTGGTTGGGAATCGTTTTGCACTGCAGCTTTCATATCTTCCATGCTTGCCCTGAGGAAAATTAAATAAATTACATTGTCACTAAACAAAAGAACTACTTTTACCATCAAAAACTTTTAAATTTGAAATTATAATATACAGCATTTAAATAACCAGAGATCAAGTCAATTTTATTCAAAACTGGATTCAAGCAGAAAGGTTGGATTTTGTTATTATATTTAAGCACTTTACAAATAATTTATTGTAGTTTCACGTTGACTGCGGAAGATGTGACGTGCGTTCTGCCAACTCGCCTTTTGGGTGCAGTGGAAGGACAAGCTCTGTGATTTTTTTTATTTATTCTAAGAAAACCACATAATTTACTGTTCTGTGTATGTGTTATTTTAATTATTTACACATTGTATAATAACATTTTGTGAATTTCTTATTTCATTTACTTAGCTCAGCATGGGATGTGTATAATTGACATAGTTTAGATAAACGATGAGAAAAAAAAATTTTATATTATTTTTAAGTACTAGAGTGCTATTTTTGTCATAAATTGTGGTCCACCGAGGTAACCAAAACAGCCAAGCATAAGCCGCAGTCAACGTGTAAGTATTGTTGAAAGGATTATAAAGTAACAACCGAAAAAGAAGTCACTTCATGTAACACCAATAGAACAAACTACAACACACATATTTCTCATTCTCAAATAAATACTTTTTTCTACTTACAAGCATCCGAACTTAAGAACAATACCATAATCAAAAATGATCAAAAATTAAAATTTCTCCGAACATTTAAATTAATGGATCCTTAAAAAAAATAAATAAAATGATGCACTTAAAATAAAAAGGAGGGAAAATTCAAAAGGTGTGGTGGGAGGTTGGTGTCCGAATGGATCAAGGTCACGATAGCTCAAGGGGTAGAGCAGCATAAGTCGAAGATCGTGGGTTCGAATCCCACTCGATCCATTGACTTTTTTATCTCAACTAATTAATTGTATGATATTAATTGGTCAAGCGGACCATGAAACTAATGAATTTAATCGATTTAAAATTAAGTATCCTTCACTAAAGCTCTCCATGGCCATTTCATTTGTCACCGAGAATCAAATTGATTACACGATATTTGAAAAATGGAAAAAAGGAGGGGAAATTAAAAAGGTGTGGTTGAGATGGGAGGTTAGTGTCCGAGTGGATCGAGGTCACAATAGCTCAAGTGGTAGGGCAGTGGCGTATCAAGCCAAAGATCGTGGGTTCGAATCCCGCTCGTGCCATTGGCTTTTTTATCTCAACTAAAAACCTTAATTAATTGTACTTAAAATAAATGTCTACTATCTCATCCTGAAGTCTTTCCTCTCAGATCGGTTTAATGTGAAAATCGGCACCGATCTACACTACTGACACACCTACCAAACACACAACTCACAACCTATGGAGATGACTCCGCCCTCTTATCTACTAACTTAAATTGTATCCTAGCCAAAGAAGCAACCAAGTAACCAGAAGATTATCTGAATCATATTACCGACTAGTGTACTCGATCATGGATCAGGTTGAACAAGCAAAACAGCCAACAAATAACATTTACGCTCTATCGTCAGGCCTGCTCACCAGTGCAAAAAAAAAACAAGGTTATACCACCAACAACCAAGACTGCTACCTTGGGTTTTGCTTAGATAGAAGACTTAATAGAACCACATAGAAAAAAAATAATAACAAAAGGTGTGCTACTCAAGACATCTATTGGGACCAAAATCATCAATAAGCATACATAACAAACTAACTCTAACAAAACACTCAGCAGACCGATTTGAGCTTATGGAGTTGCACTATGGGGCTCGGTCAAATCCAATCATTTCATTCTGAAGTTCTCTGCCGTATCCTCAAGCTCCCTTCTACGACACCAATCAAATGATCCATAAAGATCTAAAAATCCCATTCGAAAAAGATCGGTCAGGACAGGCTTTCCTCAATTTCCCCTCTCCTTGACACCCTAACCCACAGCTGAATACTCGGCAAAGGATTTTAAAAAAAGTCACTATGAAAAATGTATCACATTCTTATTTCATCGTGTACTCATAGAAATGAACTCCCAGTGGCCACAACACCACACCTCTCAAATCAAGTTTGAAAATCAAATGAAAGAGAGCATAAACAAAGCTTCTTAGGGAAATCACTGATAAGTATACGAGATCAGCAACCATAAAAACAATGGAAGGATTACTAAGAACAATAAAGGGGGGCCGTGGTAGCCGAGTGGTTAAGGCGTCAGACTCTCAGCTAGTAGATCCCGCGGTCGTGGGTTTGATCCCCACCGTCGCCTCTGGACATTTCTGCCGCCTAAGGGGAACGGTGGCCACAATTGAAAGAAATTGACACGGCACTCATCAATGTAAGGGGTGGGATCGGATCTCAGCGACCCTGAATTTGGTCCCAACCCCCTTCAAAAATGAGTGTCTTCAATGGAAGAACACCGGCACAACGGGGGCTCAAGTTCACATTTGTGTTCCGAGCCCTTCCCCAAAATATGGAGCCAGGGATAAAGTACAATAAGCTGTACAGCTCAGCTGCAGTGCTCAGGAGGGAACACCTCCAGTCCCTGGTATCAAAAAAAAAGTCAAATTGTACAGACTGGGTGAGTTAGTTCTAATTCAAAGAAATTAAAACAATAAATCATTACATGTGTTTCAATATATCATTGATAGGGACAATATAAATCATAAAATGCATAGAAAGAACAATCTATGAATCCGGAATGTAGTTTAGTTTTGCAAGGTTTCAATAGTTAACTTAATTAAAACGCTGTCGTGGACAATATCGATGATGTTTTGTCACAATAGTTATCACCTTAAGACTCCAACCAGTTGTTGGTTAATGATTGTAGATTTACCGGTTCAACCTAACAAAGGGTAAAAAACAGAAACACATCTATTATGTCAGATAGCTAGGCAGTCATCTAAGCACCAAGCCCAAACATTACTAACTTAAATATGGTGCTAAACTGCAATACTAAATTACATAAAAATTAGTATGCAAAATAAACTTACTTTCTGTCGTATGTAGGAGTAGAGGGAAATGAGAGAGTTGACACCCTTGCAAGGAAAGGGGCTGCTATACCGTTGATAAGTCCTGAGCACTTCCATGGCAAACATATTCACACTATCAATGAGTATCTTAGACAAAAAGGCAGGATGAAATGAGGAAATACGGGAATTCACACATTGGACACAATTCAAGAAACTCCTGGTGAGTTAGTACTACTGTATAGATACACAGCAGACTGAATGGGCATTTGAGGAAAATTGATATGGCAGTAGAAGAGACACCAACACATCAACTAAATAAACTGATGCTAACTTGCCCCTCAGGAGGAAGTGCTTTGGGATGCACAACATAACCGTAGAAGAAATTCAACCACTGGGACTACTAATAAATTTCTTAATGATCTAGGACTCCCTGGTGTGCTATAGGTACGGAACAAGGGATACAATAGCTCAATAAGGACGCAGTATATCACACACCCCAATTTTTTTTTTGCCCCTCCCAGGCGATCTCAAATTTCCTTGAAGACCGACTCAGTCCCAACCCATCCAAGAAACTTTTTTTAAAATTATATTTCAAATTCGAAACAAAAATGGGTTATTATTATTATTATTATTACCATTATTTTAAGAAAATTAACAACTTTTACAAAATGAGTATATAACTGGACAAAAATAACAGGCACATCTAAATATTTAATGTCATAAAAACTAATAGTATTTAGTAAAAATTAAAACTTTGGGATTAACGAATAATAGTTAAAGTACAAAGGAAAATTGATTTTATATTTTTATGCGGAGTAGTTGAGTTGAAAAATTAGTGTCATAAGCTGGACTTGAACACCCACGACCAGTACCCCAGGCGCTTTTAACACTTGATCTATAGATATAATTCTTACATTTAATAATATTTAATTATCTATTTGCCCAAGAGAGAAATGCAGTAGTAGATTGAGATGATTAGTTGGTGTCTCAAGAACAGAAATCACAATACCTCAAGTGGGAGAATTGCCAGTGTACTTTCAATTCACGAATTTGTTTTTTGTCATCGAGAATCCAATCCGATTACACGACATTTGAAAAATGGCAAAAAGGAGGGAAAATTCAAAAGGTGCGGTTGAGATGGGAAGTTGGTGCCCGAGTGGATCGAGGTCACGATAGCTCAAGTGGTAGAGCAGCGGCATATCTAGCCGAAGATCGTGGGTTCGAATCCCGCTCGTGCCATTGACTTTTTTATCTCAACTAAAAACCTTAATTAAATGTAATTATTAAAATAGTTAATAATCACTTTTTTTAAATCAGAACAGGTTAATTTTGGAAATTATTTTGATTTGAAAATCCACTCTATTTCTCCCTAAATAATTAAACTCTTTTTTATAACTCTAATACATCTATAAGTTTGTTAATTCTCAAAGAAAAATATTGACAAATGATCCATTTGATAAAAATTAAAATAACAAAATTAAAAATAGCCTTAAATAAAAAAATAAATAATGAAACAAAACTAATGCCACATCTAGAAAGCATAAAATATTTAGAGGGGATATAACACATATTAGTAAAAAAAACTTGGTCTGCCTTCACATATGTATATATATGTTTTTTTTAGTTTTTTTTTTTAAATTTAAGAATGTGAGTTGTAGTCTGACAAAAGTGAAGAATAAAATAACATAAATCAAGGATTTTTACATATATATGAGCAATAAAACTTAATATTTATACAGTCGGCTCTAGTTAATTCAAAATTTTATAATTCAAATTTCTTGATATTACAAACTCCTCAACATGTCACTTAGTAAATCTAAACAATTCTGTGCATTTTGTCATACTCGGGAATATAAAATATTTTTTCTAACAGGGGGAAAAAGAGGATTCTATAAATTGAAGCCAAAGCCACTTCCCATTTTGATCATTTAAATTTTTCTTTGCAATATTTATCTAAATATCCATATAATGTTTACTTCCCTGCAGTGTAAGTCAGTGTTTTGCCAATACGTTCTCAGCACTGGTCCCTTGGGAAAATCATTTAAACAAAGGATGCCAGGCAACATTGAAACAAAAACTACTTCATGATTTTTTTTAATAATATATAACAATACTCAATTTTACAGATGATTCATTCCCACTTTTTCATTTTTTTTACGAAGTTTTATATAAGCACAATTTAAATAATAACGTGTAAAAATGCAAATCAACTCTTTAATAATATTTTTCAAACATCTTGATAATTCGAATTATTTTTGTGGTTCCTTGGCTTCGAATTATCAAGAGTCGACTGTATATACTATAAAAATGAATTACTTTCGTAACAAAAACAAAAAAATACCTCTGGTTATTACACAGCATGCAAACCACTTTAAAGTCCATGTCTAAACATGCCCAACCTACATGGAAAGTACAAAGTACACAAAGCTGTACCATGCGTATTTATACAAGTGTTTAAATTGAGAAAAGCTACAAAATGTATTACACAATAACATCGATAAATATGCACAGATGTGCAATTACAGCACATTTTAATTATAATTGCATGCAGGTTTTTCATTTTTATTTAAACATTTCTTTATCAATTTTTCCTGTTTGTTAAATATTTTCTCATTTCCCACATATTGAGATGTTTGACGAGAAAGATTGTTCTAACAGTTCACATGCCTTCATTCATTCACATTTTTCAATTTGGAAGTTGTTTTTTATTAATTTATAGTAGTACTTAAGCTTAACATTTCATTAGACTTTTTTAAATAATCCAATCAAAATATAAAAAAACTTATGCATCCTCATAATATTAATACAGTTAATTATAATATGAGATATTTAGCCATTAAAATTATCTGATAGTAAAAAATTTGATAGCTAATGTTTTCTAATTAAATTGTCATCAATAAAAACTTCTTTGAATAAAAATATTGTTATTCCAATTAAAATCTTGTTAATGTTATTAATGTTTAACAGATCATTAATTTGTTAACGCTTAATGCTTCATTTGTTGTTCACGGGCCAATTTTTATTTCAAAAAATCCGAATCCTGGTCCACAATTATTTCCTACACTTTTAAAATTTAACACATTAAATCAAGCAGGAGGAATGTAGAAAACCGGTCTAAGTATGTTCCAATGAACATTTTTTTTTTAATTGTTGAAATGTTTACATTAAAATGAAAAACTGTTTCTTTTTTTAAGGTGTGGACGAAACAGTCGAAAAAATAATAAACAAATGAATTCTCACAGATACAACAAAAGACTATAAAATATAAATTTGAACAGTTCTTTGCCTTGTTTCCGACTAGTCCTTTAAATTATTTTTCCCTCTCCTATCCTTCCTGAAACATCTGACGTGCTCGTTACGGTCTACGTGGGTCTCCAGACATCTGGATCTTCCATCAGCGTAGATTCTGGAGGTGCTGTAGGTCCGGGGTGTGAGACAGCCACTCCTGTCGGTGATGCCATGGCAGCCATATCCTCTCTCGAACCCCTATCACTCAGACAATACACAAAAGTCCATGCCAAAGCAACTAACACACAACAGAAAACATAAGCGCCAAAACATTTTTGAAATTCCCGACCTTTCAAAACCAATGAGTCTTTTGAAACAACTCCAATTTCAACTCAAAATGATTTACTAATTACTAAAATAAAGAACCCATCACACAATATTTTTATTTTTGAACAAGTTACTTTGTTAAATATGACCAGAAGCATTAGATGAACATTTTTTAAACGTAATTCTAATGGAATAGAAACTTTTACATACTTTTTGCCGAGAGCCATCATTCCATAGATAACACCTGTTCCAAAAATTAAACCACTGCCGAGCAATGAACTTAAGTTGAAGCATAAGAAAATTGGAGGTAAAGCAATCCTGAAAAATAAAATTTAAATTACAAACACAATTCATACCAGTTAATAAATATTTAAAAGAATCATAAAGCTAAGAGATTAACAATCTAAATATGTTATTAAATTTCAAAACTATATTAAAATATCTAGTATTTAGTATTGTTGGTTGGGAATCGCAAGTATTTCCAAACTCATTGAGATACTCCTTGGCACCACCGTTTTATTGTATGTCACGAAAAACTTCCTGAGACCTTATATCTTAAAGGAATAGAAATTTTCAGTGACATCATTGTCATCGTAACGATAAAAATGTGTTATTCAGCGATCAATCATCAAACATTACCCCGCATAAAGTGCAGCCCTGTTCCAATAAGGGCGCTGGTCCACAAATTCACTTAACGACTGTACAAAGTCTAGAAAGAGACAACAGCAAGGCGCCTCGATAACTAACGTCGCAAACCCTGCACACCTGAAACCAAAGGACAGAAAAAGGAGTCAATGGGTTGAATAAATTTGGTTTCACTTCATAACTTACATTTGCCAAATCCCACTAATCACACAAGATATATCAGCAGTTATTATTCCTAAACAATTGAACATTCCAAGGAATATGGCCACTAGAACACAATAAAAAAAATATTTAAAAACAAAATGTGACATAATTAGTACAGTAAAATATTTTGCTGTTACACTTTTAAATAATACAGTCTTTCTGTAGAACTTATGTTTTTATACAAACTGCGCAAAAATGAAAGGGATATTTGTAATTTATTATTATTTTATTAATTTTAATTTGTGTCTTAATGTCGTCATTGTCGTCTTAACAAGATATATCCAACTATATGCCTTGTTAGTTGGATAAAACAAAACCATAAACAAAAAAACTTGTTACTCCTCATTTTTAATAATAGATTTACTTAAGAAAAGTAAACATGAAGATTACTAATTTTGTAAACAAATACGTTTTCTCATCATTTCTCTATTTTAATCCCGCTGCCTTCCCTTTAACCATGGAAAGATTCATCTTGAACCAGAAGTTGACAGTATTATTGTGAGAATGTGTCATCGAGGCCACTGGATATCGCCAAGTGGATATCACAGAGGCAGTTGGTGTTTCTCAGGGCATAGGCTTCTGGGCTTTAGCCCAATTTCGAGAAAGTGGAAGGGCCAATAGGAGGCCAGGTAGTGGATCTCAGCACATTACGATGCTAAGGGAGGACAGAAATATTGTCATTGTTATTGACTGAACCCTTTGTGCCCGTCAGATTCAAAATGATGTACAAGATGTTTTGTCAAGGTCTTTATCAAGTTGGCCTCACATTGCACACCCCTTTGAGATGAAATACAGCAACAGCCTGCCACCGGCAACTCTGTTTACTGATGAGTCGCATTTCTGTCTGTATAGTGATAGCAGAAGAAACGAACTCTGCAAGCAGTACCAGCTGAGGATAGAGCGAGATCCTCCTTAAAGGAAATTCTTCAGAAAAACTGATTCTTGGATGTCACCCATTGTTTATACCAACACTTGCAGATGGCTTCTAATTTGCCGACTCTAGACGACGAGGATGCTGCACTCACCGCCAGGAAGCTTCTAACACCACTACTGGGTAGTCCTTAGGGGATGGGTGATGTCGCAGAACCTTTGAGAACCCACGACTTTGTCCGAGGGTTTCTCCCAACAACCAAGGACTTATAAGGCCATATTGGAAGCTCTTTTTAAGGACTAGCTTGTGTTTTGTGCCCGGTTCCGGTCTACCTCTTAAAAGGTCTCCCCATGAGTTTATTTGTTTGATTTTGGACAAAGGCACTTTTATATTGAAACATTTTATTGTAATTATTGAACACTACAATTCGCTTGTATTTAATAAACAAAAAATTTATTTGAAATACATATATTTGTTTGGTAAAGAAGTATTTTATTATTTATTATAATTTTATATGTTTGTTAATTTATGGGTTAATGTTTGTTGTACACTTTATATTGCTGGTTGCTATCGAAACTACATTCTTTTCCCCTCAGTTTGAAGGAATTATTCTTAATCTCAACACAGTGGAATCCGTGTTTGGTTCTCCTTTGGAAAAATTCAAGGAATATCCTTGTCAGTATGGCTTGATGTTGCTGAAAAAACAACTCATTGAACTGTCAAATTAAATGAAACAATGCATAATTACTGAAAAAGAATGATTTATTGAGATATTTTTTCATGCTATCAGTTAATAGAATATGTTTAAGCAGAAGCAAACTCAAAAGAGAAAATTTCAAAAGAATGATTGGCATTTGTTTAGTATTTATCATTATGATTATAAACTTCCAGTTAGAAAATCCAAGAAGCCTTTTCATTTTTGTAGAGTAATCATAAATTTAATCACAACAGATTGTAGTTTTTTTTTTAATGGAAAAATTGCTACGGTCATCACCAGACCTCAGCATATTTATGCTTTAACGTTTTCCACCGAACATCTTTGATTAAATTTTAAATCACGAATAACAGAAATCATATTTATGGACAGCAATTCTACCACTGAATGGGAAAAAAATGCGATAAATAAAACCGAAAATTATTTTGTTTTCGAAAGTGCCTCATCATGTGGCAAAACATGAGAAAACATTGAAATTCAAGTACAAAGAAAAGTTGGCTTGGTTGTAGATGTTTCTCAACTTTCTAAGTCAAATCAGTGATACCATTGTTTAGTCTGTACTATCAAATATGAAGTTAAGACATCTGACTGTTGAACACTGATTTGTGGTGAAAGTAATAAATCTTAAAATATTACTGTGTCCTATCCTGGCAGCCTGCTACAGAGAGATAAGAAGAATATATTCTAAACTTGTCATTTTTTCTCATTGTGAATTTTCAGTTTTCATTATCATTCGTATAAGGTCATTACATCACAAAACTATCAATACCATATACAATAAAACAACCTTATTTCCTCCAAGAATCAGAAGAAGGGACTGTATTTGCTGCTGAGCTCAAGCCCAATTCTCACATCGGGTGGCATTCCTACATGTTCTCTATATGGAACCAAGGAATTGCACCTTTCAATTAAGTGGGACACATCAAGGAATGTTTCTCTACAGATCATACATGGGCTTTGGCTCAAAAATAAGTGTCCATATGTCAACCTCGCATGGCCTATCTGGCGAGGAAAACCCTTCTTCTAGGAATCAGATGCTCTTAGTACATGAGAGTTTCTCTGCACACATGGTCCACCAATGCTGCCACATGCTTCATGATGTTTTTTTAATGCATTTCTTGGCATTCTGACATCTTGGCCTTAGCCGCCTCGTCTGACTTTTCATTACCCTCCAGACCTGTATGTCCATGAACCCAGACAACCACCGTTTTGCATTATATGTTCATAATATAAGATTATGAGGGGAAAAGAAATTTATAGATGAACCTATCCAGTTGTACCGTATGAAATGTCAGTTTTGTTTACTTTCTTTCTTAATACTCCTTCTTTATTAATTCAATGTTTACTAGCAAAGTTGTCATTCATACCGAATTAAAGTTCTTTTATTCCTCTTACTTTTTCAATCATTGGTTTGCTTTCATTGAAACTTGGCTGAGAAATAAATTATTATCAGCAACAATGACCTCACCGTAATTAAGCATAATTATGAATTTATGAATTTAAACTTGACTATACCACTGCTGAGCCGTGTCGTAAATCAATTCTGCTTTTGGGGAGGATTCTGCGAATGAAAGGACTGTTGAACAGTGGTTTTCAAGGCTTCGGATTCCAAACTGGATAATAGCCAACAATAATATTTCAAGGCATTTAAAAGAAAACATGAAAATGAAAAAATTGAATAAATGGGTACCACGCGAATTTTTCATCTCAACCAAAAATGTTACAAAATTTTTGGTGTTTAGTGACTGTTAGTTAATGATTATTTAGATGTGGGAGATGCGGTCTGGTGCGATGTGGGTTTAGAAAAACATTTTCTTTATCGTGCCAACGTTTTATATAATCCCTATTTGTTTAGTGGCCATAATTGACCATATTAATTATTCAAATTAATTATTCCTTTCATCTAAGGTTTTTGGTTGAGATGAAAAATTTGCATGGTAACATTTATTCAATTTTTCATTTTCCCGATTGCTTTTAAATGCCTTGAAACATTCTTGCTGGTTATTATCCAGTTTGGTTTCTAGCCTACCTCGTTCCTGGTTGTCAATTCAAGATCTCTAAATAATTGTTGTGAAATTTATTCTTCGCTTTTGCTGCAAAATCACAATGAACCAGTTTTGAACCGTGTTTTCAATTGTGACAAAAAGTGCGTCCTGTACGACAAATAAACAAGGTCAGCTCAATGGTCGGATAGAGATGCATCGGCAAAGCAGATGGTAAAGTCAAGCCTGCACCCCAAAAAAATTATGCTGACTGGTTTGGAATGGGTTTGATCACTATAATTTTTTAATCACAGCAAATTCGAATTGCCAAGAGTTAAACATTTTTTTTTATAATAAACTCCGAGAAAAACATCCAAGTTTGGTCAATAGAATCTATACTCTTCCACAACAATGCTCATCCTCACATTTCAAGATTGACAATGCAAAAACTTGAGAGAGCTAAAAAATTTCAAGTTCTTCCACACCCACCATATTCACCTGACCTATCCTATTATATTCAAAGATATAAAATTTTTAAATTGGAGATTTTCTCAAAAGAGCAATCGAATAATTCCTTACAACTCAAACTCCTAATTTCTAGGAGAGGATAAAAATGCTTGTAAGTTAGGAGAATTTCAACAGGTATTTATCGTATCGATTCCAGCATTTTTAATTACTGACATTTCATACAGTTTAACAGATAGAATTGAACAGAATTCATGTTAAAGTTTCTTCTCAAGTTCTCTTGAGGATTTGTCATTCCAGTAAAGCTAATTGTTTTTTCCCAGGAGGAAAACAGTTCAAAGTCAATAAATAAGTATATTTAGAAATTAACTTTCAAACCGACATTTAATTAGAAAGTGAAGCCATCTGGGATTTCCGTAGTCCTAACAATCAAAATGGTGTGTATTGAATTTTATCCATGCAATTTGAGACAAATTTGTTGAAGATTAGTGTTTACAATACAATTTCTATAATATATTTAATGGCCAAACAACAAAACAAATAAATTAATTAAAATTATTGAGTTTGAGGGAATGTACAATAAATTATTTTTGATGGTATGATCTAGTTTATTGTATAATTTAGAGGATTTGTTTTTAATTATTGTGTATAAATAATTACACTTCTAATTCTACAATTGAGAAAATTTAATTAATTCAAAATGTTCTAATTAAGTTATTATTTTATTCTAAATTAATGAAAATGGTATTAAACTAGGATAAAACTTCAAAGTAGACTAAACAAAAGATGGTTGTGAACATGAAGATAAACATAAACATTAAATGTGAGTCAGTATTTCTTGCCGTTCTGGGAACGCTGATTTTTGAAAACACAAAAACATTTAACTAATCTAAATATTGGAAAATAATTAATAAACGTATAATTAATAAAAAGCCGGCATTTTCTATTTTTTAATTGTAAGTTGTTAAATAGAGAGTATTAAAGGAGAAGGTTGGTGACTTACGTCCACCGCCCACGGTGCCGAGTCCCCGTCCACCGTACTTCATCCACCAGGGTACTTCGTCCTTTGGAACTGCGTCCTCCCCCGGCCGTCTCATGATGGAGCCGACTTTTTCCATGAAAGACTGGAAAAGAGAACAGAGCGGACCATGAGCGATTTCGGCTGGAAACCGTGACCGGACTGGAGAATTACCATATTTCTAAAGGAGTTGGTCCGATTCTGTGACAACGAATACGCCGGCTGTCGGCAATTAACGTACAACTGTGACAAACGCCCAGACTGACGACGAAACTAAGATGACCCGCGGTACCGTTCCTGTTCTGGCTCGGGTAAGATTCGATCTGGGCAGTGGGCACCGACTCTTCAACGATCTGTTTTACAACAGGAAAACAGCTGCCCAGAATCACTATGGACAGTGGTGCCAATCCAGTTGGAAAGGAGACGTCATGCCGCTCGTTTTCCATCGGGACGAACTTATTTCTGGCAAGTGTCAAAAATCCACATTTACAAATAAAAACTAACGAAAATCAGCCTCGTAAATTTACAATAGCTTATAATCATCAATATCTATCTCGAAAAAAGCAATTTTCATCAATAAATATACCGAAAAGAGTTATTTCTTTATTAAATGTAAATCTTTCATTTCCTTAATTGTTTCAATTAAAAACGAAAGCCAAATTATTTCAAAATAGAGTGATTTCAATTTGAACATTATGGTAAATTATCGCTTGGCCGTTTTTTCAGTTGATAGCCTGCTCCCATCTCATCATCTTTGCTTTCCAACCGTTCGATGATGAAACATGATCGTAATCGTGACGTTTTGTTCAAAGTTCAAACAGATCTCATACATACTAATATTAAATAAACAGCCAAAATAATTCCTCCCTTTTATAAAACGACAGCCGAGGACAAAAGAAATAAATAAAACTGACAGAATAAAATAAACGGTTTACAAGAAACAATAAGCCGATCCAGGTAGTCAAAATGGGGTTGAAAAGAACGGATATTTTACAATTCCAAAATGCCCCTCATAAATGATTTCTGGTACCTGTCGTTTAGCGGTATCGTGACCCACTTTTTACTAGAATGCCTTCAAAATTCATAATAATTGCTTTAATTTGATGAAAGACTGTCATTTAAGAGTATTAAAGACTTTTTTTGTTAAATTCAATTAGTTAAAAGCAAGTTTCACACTCTCCTTGCAGTAGGACACATCGTTTTTGTTAATCCATATTTGTTTAGTGGTCATAATTGACCATATTAATTATTCTTTTAATCTAAGGTTTTTGGTTGAGATGAAAAGAATAATTAATTGGAATTATTTTTGTTATTGTACTCACTCCTCTTCAGTCTGTGTAGAGAACCCAGAGAACAAACCGATAAATTATAACAAACTTATAAATTTAGAATTATATCAATCAGCTAAAATATAGTCAGACACAGATCGCTGATCCAATTTGAGTGCCAAAAATATTTTTAATTTTATATAGTACTTTAATGTATGTAATGTGTGTTATTTATTACAACAAATGCATTTAATTGAGTGAATGGAGGGTCTGATCGCCCAATTACCCCGAGGAACATGGAGTACTCTGGGGTAGTGTGAATGAAATTTATTAGCGTGAATGACAGGGCTTATCACCAATTACCCTGAGGAATATCATGTGCTCTGAAGTAGTGTGTGAATTGAAATGTGTGAATGTAATTAAAAATTAAAAGGGGGCCGCAAGGATTTAGTCTTTGACACGGCGTTCATCACTGTAAGGTAATGGTCCCGGGTTCGAATCCAGGGCCCTGCATTCGAACCCGACATACTTACAAATGGGCTTTTATTTAAAAAAAAAAAATAAAATAAAATAAAATAAAATAAAATAAAATAAAATAATAATAATAATAAAATAAAATAAAATAAATAAATAAATTAGCAAAAAGGAGGGAAAATTCAAAAAGGTGGGGTTGAGATGGGAAGTTAGTGTCCGAGGGGGTCTAGGTAGCTCAAGGTAGAGCAGTGGCACATTGAGCCAAAAGCCGTGGGTTCGAATCCCACTCATGACACTAACTTTTTTATCTCAACTAAAAACCTTAATTAATTGAAAGATATTAATTCATCAAGCAGACCACAAAAACTAGTGAATATATTAGCATGAATGATAGGACTTATCCGTAATTCCCTGAGGAACATGGAGTACTCTGGGGCAGTGTGAATAAATTGTAGTGTGCGAATGTAATTTATTAGCTTGAATGGCAGGGCTATCCCAATTACCCCGAGGAATTGAGTATCTGGAGTGTTGAGAATGAAATAAATGTTTGTTATTGTGTCATTCTATCAACCATTGAGGTACAGAGTGGCTAGCAATAGGACAAACAAAAGAGAGGGTCAATTACAGTTATAATGATCATATTACATCAGTAACTTGGCTGGAGGATGAGGCTGGAATGAAAAGAAATTATAAGGAATAAAACTTGAGAAAGACAGGAAAATAATTGAAGGCTGGGAATGACTAAGTAGTTTGCCAACTAAGATTCATCAACAAAAAATCTTGTAATTTTTATATTCTTTTGCACATTTATGTTATTTTAAGAGAAAAGTTAGGGATTGACGATAGTTAGACCTAAATTGTACCAGGAGCTAGCGCCACATTCAGTAACAAAACACCAAGCCACTGATATGAAACCATGATGACTTTTCATTTTGGCATAATTGTCTATATAATAAAACAGTTTAGTTTTCTTTACATCCAAACAAATATTTTTTGGAATTGTAGCTGTTCTAAATAGAATTAGATTAATCTCATGTCATTGTCAACAGCCCATACTTTTGTATACGATATTTTTGTAATAAACAAGTGCATAAAAAAGTATACAAATGAAAAATCATAAATAAAACATGTTCTTCAGCTTCCACAACAACCCAGAGTACCATATTCCATGAAAGGCCTGGTTTATGTCCAAGAACACACTCAGGCAATATTGTTTTAGTTCAACGGATATGGAAATAATGTCAATTATGGGGTGTGCTTGCTGTATAGTTGTGCGGCAACTCTGAAAAACGAACTGGTGATAGTGAATTGTGTTTGTGGGAAATTCCTTGAATATGCGGATCAATAGGAGCTTTTCCAATATTTTCCCAATAGGCAACAGAGAGGTAATAGTTAGCCAAGTACATTAACGATTTTTTTTTTTTTCAGAATGGTGGAGATCTTGGATGTCTGGGTGCGTATTAAATACTGCAGAGAGATAATTTTTTTAAAAAGTTTTTGTACCAAATTAAATAAAATATAAATCCATACTAAACAACACAACACCAATAAACAAAATTTTTAACTTCTTGACAAACATCCAACTAATAGATAAAATTTAATTTCCTATCCCGGTGTGGATTGAATACTGCAGAGAGGTGTTGGTTTAGGAGTTGAGCTTTGTCCTCTTTGGACTTGGCCCAAGTTCCATGTCTATACTTAATGAATTATTTTGAAATTAAAAAAAAAAAATTTCATTGTAGTTATTATTTATGATGCCTAGATATATTGGATAGCAATCATCTTGCGAGATATTTTTAAAAGTTTTTGTGCCAAATTAAATTAAATATGAACCCATTCTAAACAACAACTCAACACAATAAACAAGATTTTTAACTTCTTCACAAACATGTGGTGATTAGTGACCGTTAATCGATATTTATTTAGAAATCGTGAGATGCGGTCTGGTGTGATGTAGGTTTCAGAAAAACATTTTCTTTATCGTGCCAACGTTTCGATCTTTATTGAGATCATCTTCAGGGCTCAAAGTGTTTGTCTTCTGGGTAATTGTGCCATTCTTGCGTGTCGTGTTGAGAGTGCCCACACCAGACCGCATCTCATGATTCTTCACAAACATTCAACTAATAGTTAAAATTTAATTTCCTATCCCTTCAACTCTTGTTTTCTCTACTGGTACCCCAGTAGTGGTGGTGGTGAGGTGAGTCTCAGTTATAGTAATGCCTGCCCGGGGCCTCGGTGCTGGTCTTTGCCTGGAGTGAGGGGTGCCTCCCTGAACTTTGAGATTAAGGAATCTCCAGTGAGGTTAGAGGGGGTGTTGATGGTGTCTAGGCTGCCACTGTGCCGGGGTTTAAAAAATTTTTTCCACATGTTGAACCAAACTATTTTTTCTTCTCAATGTTTCTGGGCAGATTAATAAGAGAGGGTTACCCAGAACTTTAGTATTTGGTCAAAAAAATGTGATTTTTAGACGAAGGAAACTAGTCTCTGTTTGAACTTAGGTACTACAGCAGTTTTTTTCATAAATGTAGTAAGGTTTTTAGGATCTTAACCTTCTAGCTATCTTTCCAATTTCATCCGCATAACAGAAGCTCCTCCATACCACTGAACTAAACGATTCTTTTGAACAATACATTTTTAAAATCCTATTTTTCAGAATTATAGAAAGCAAGCATATTTAAAACTCAAGGAATTGTTACACCACTCTTCAGGGCAAAGTATTTCCCAGCTTTTTTTAATTTTTCAGAGGATGAAAAAGGAATTCCCTTGTAAATAAAATTGTGAGGTGTTTTTAGGATAATTGATCCCATTTGCTGAAAACGAACTACGATTGGTTTTTGTGCACTTGCAACTAGATTATTCAGATCACAGTATTTTTGCAGCAGATCCAGTTTGAATTGGGCATACTTCTATGCATAGGCAGTTATGCCTACACCAACCATGTTCAGCATCATACCATATTTTCAACACTCACGCCTTCTGCACCATGCTACAAAAGAATTTAATTATAACTGCTACAAAAAATGAGAAAAAGACCGGGCTTAGTTTTTTCACCCTGCAAAACTCCCTTAGAGACATTAATTGGGTCTGATACCTTCTGATTCTATACTAATTCTAGAGGACTCATATAATTTGTAATTATACTGGCCAATTTATCACTTATTCCCAACAGTTTATTATGGGGTATGGAGTTAAAAGTCTTTTAAAATCTACATTTATAAATTATCATTATTATAATTTATCATAAAAAAAACTTACTTCACTTTAATCTTTGTTGCAAAGTCATTATTGTTGAAAGGGTACAAATCCCAATAATAATATAAAATTTTGTTTTGCCAATTTCCTCAGGGGGTATCTGTCAATATGTTAATTTTATCCCAACTGTATGCATAATTAGTTGGTGATTTCATAATCTGTAATTGTGTGTTTACAATTCTTTCCATGTTGAACTTATCACTTTCAATAATTTATTGCCACTGACTGTAAGTTTAGACTTATTCTAAAAAAATTTGTAGCATAAGTACGGTAGTTTTAAAAATCCATAGGGCATTTTTAAACAAAATCTTTTCTCATTGTGGGTTCTTTGTATTTTCGGTGTCGTGTTTATTAAATTTATTATTTTAAACTTTAGACAAAGAGCCACCAACAATTGTGAAATTCTTCAGCTGGAGGAAATTGGTCCACAACAGGTGCAGACAGTCAATTAGCATTTGACCTATAAAAAAGAAGACTGCCCTCATTTGAAGTAAACGTATTAGGGGGGAAAAAAATTGTTTTCTTTTTTTCCGCAGTTTTGGATTAAAAGAACATTTTAATATCAGTTAATTTATAATCTAGTGCCTTATCTTGCAACTCATCCAGAAGAACCTAATTCATTAGATTACATCACGCTGTTAAACTCTGCATCTCATTTCACTTGGGTCTCGCAAAATAATCAAGGTTAATAAACACATCTTGTTAAAATCCTCTGACCTGTTGCATCATTTCTTATTTTTGCAATTTTTCATACGCTGGGGTGGAAATTGAATGCAAAAAAAAGTAATTAATATAAACCTTTTGACATAAGCTTTATGATTACTGTAAATGAGTAATCAATGTTATCTTATGGTATCGAAATAATATGTTTACAAGTCAAACTGTTCTAAACAATGTCGTTTTCACTTTGTACACAAGTAATAAGAATTATTGTTGAATATTGCAAAATGTAGCATTTGTACATAATACAACTAAATTGTGATAACATATTTTTTTTACATAATTTTTAAAATAAACATTTTTTTAAAATAAATTTATTTCATCAGATTTCACTTAGATTGTTTTATCAATTTACAAATAGGCGAAAATCCGCAGATTTAATCAGATTGAACTCAGTACCTAATTAATTCATTAAAACGGAATTTAGGCATGCTTGTTCTTGTTGAATGAGTGAGTCTGAACTCTGAAATGTAGACTGGTGTTCAGATCCAAAAGGTGCATTGAACTGTTTAACTGTTTACAATCCAGTTAAAATTTGACAAACGCGCGCAATACTTTACTTCAATAATCTTTGTGTAATGGGTATGTACGTACGTTTTAGTTTAATTTTTCTTGTCTGTGTTCGAATTTATTATTTATTATTTTATTAATTGTTAAATGAGTAAACAATGATGCCAATAAACACTTAACGTGTTATGAAACAAACAATACAATTAATTACAAGTGTATAAAATTTACAAATAAAATCCTTGTAGATAAATAGCAGTTTACAAGTAATATAATATTTAGGTATCATAACTAAAGTTCACAATAAAATTCTAATAAAATATACTAAATGAATTTAAAAAATAATGTTAGAGAACAGTGTTTTTAATTAAAAATGACTGTCAAGATTTCAAATAATTTTTGGTAGCGCTGTTTTTGAAGTTTCATGCTATGTCCACGAATTATTGAGGATGTATGCAGTGAGAAAAGTGGAGAAGGGTCGTATTCATTTGGAAGAATTTTATAGGTTTCAATGAGATCTTGGCTTTCTTTACGATCTTGAAGAGTTGTTAAATTTAAGAATTTAAGTCAGTCGACATAGCTGTTTTATAGCTTTAATTTATTGGAGGTTTTGATAAGGGTGAATTTAACTCAAGTGGGTAAGACAAGGAGAAAAACCTAATCAAATATAGGCTTTCATGCCTTCATTTTCAAATAATATAATATGAACATTCATCATTTTTTAGGATTTAGTCAGAAGATAGAAAACAGAAAATTCTTGTTGGAAGAAAGCTTGGCAACTGGGCAACTTTGAAAAAAGAAGCTAGAGATAAGATTAATCACCTTTTTTTATTGACTAAAAAAATATTCTTTTGTTTGTGAATTCACGTGCCCTTTTATCCAAACACTAATAGACACTAGATCTGTTATATAAAACTAGGAAGTAAAGAATAGAAAAGCAAAATGCACTATCCTTTCTTTCTGAAGTTAGAAAATAAAATATGCTCTCTGTAATTTTCAATTTAGGTTTTGTGTTGTAGGAAGGATGTTAATCCTTAAGTACAATCAAATGCACTGGAATTAGGAACAAAGTTGATAAAGAAGAGTTGTTTGTGTGATTATGTGCCTGCAGTACGATTGTCTCCTCGCCACCTTCGTCTTCAGACATGTTTTAATATTTCACAATTTTCAGTACTTAGGACGACAAAGAGGCAATATGCATGGAGGATCAGAAACAATTAAATTGTCTGTTATTTTTGTAACAAGTTTTGTTGTTTTTCCAGGTCCCAGAATAGGAATTGGGCATCCTAATGACTTTGGGGTTAATTGTGATATTTCTCCTTGTCTGTGGGGTGATGAAATGCAATTTGGCCGTTACTAATCTGTTTTCTTATCCTCATTAATGGGGTAGTCTGTCAGATGCATTTTATCATTTCGCCATATTCAGTGTGTCTATGGCTATTATTTTACTAATCCAATTAAGGTTTGAAGGGGCAGTTAATATTCTTCCATTGACCTTTTCACATATGTTTATATAATATGTTATGCCATTTTCAAATATCATGAAATGTGCAAAAAGACTTTCTTCTATTTTTGAAACTACACACCAATCTCTCTCTTGTAGATTGCTCTTCAAGATTGGTGGAAAATAAATAATGTTTCACTTTCTTTTTTCACTTTTAATCTGTTAAAACTTTGGGGGTTATTGCAAAAGATGCTTCCAGCCTCATAAAACTCAGTCCCTGTTGTAGAGAATTTTATTTTGATTTTATTGTATTCCTGAAATGTTTTGTATCCTTCTAATTTATTTGTTTCTTGAGCTTTTCCTGTTGATGTTTATATGAGCTTTTCCTTGCCTAATGTTGCATATATAGAACCATATTGCTTGTTTCTGGGTCATATGATGATGATGATGAAGATGAAGATGAATATGGAGACTGGGAAGTGGGGTTTTTTATGTTCCCAAATTACTGCACCCTTCTGGCTTATTTTGTTTTTCCTAGTTCCTTAGTTCAATGCAATTGATTCAATCCTTTTCTTAAGAAGTATTAGGTCATTTACTGTTGTTGATTCCTTTCTCTGGTTTTTGGTATCCCAGGTTATGCCTCTATTGAGCAGTAGCTTCGCATTTGAAAATGATATGGGTTGCTGTTTCTTCCTCATCATTCCATAACCTATAAATGGGGAATTGAATATAACCATGGTATGCAGATGTTTTCTCAGATGCCAGTGATCAATTTATAGTCCTATCACTTCTCTGAGTTTAGTCCTCTTTAACTGTAGCGATGAGTTTGTTAGTTTTGATGAGTTCTCTTATTAGCATCCTGTGTCTGGCACCTCTAGAGTTTGTACATTTCCCCTTTTGCTTTTTTGGCTTCATTCTGTGATGGAGTAATCTGTATCTCTTTTTTCATAGAGTATAGGTTCAGGGTTTATATATGGTTTTGTAGATCCTCCTCTGGCCAGTTTGTCTGCTTTTTCATAACCTAAAATTCCTTTTTGTCCTTGCACTCAATATATGATTATATATATATAGGTTTTGGTGATTTTAGATCAGTCATTGACTATTTTACATGATAATGCTTTAATAGCTGCTTACCTACCTGCCTTATCATCATTTGTTTGGTCAGTATAGCCACTTTAAGGTTTTCTAAAGGACAAGTATGTATTTCTGCTTGAAAGACCAATGTGCACTTCCTGAGTCCTATTGCTCATATTTTGGGCGTAGGATTCCGGGAATATAGTCAATCTCCGTTTCTAAGAATGGGTGTCCAATTTTATTTATTATTTTTGTATACCCAAAAAGTTAATCCCCATCCAATTTGATAGTTTTTGGTGCCCGAATATCCTGAATAAATTTTTCCAATGGATGTAGGTTTAGCAGTATTTCTAATGCCGTTGTTGAACTTTAGACCACCAGATTATTGAGGCATAGGATTCCGGGAATATAGTCAATCTCTATTTCTAAGAATGGGTGTCCAATTTTACCTATTATTGTTGTATACGCAAAATGTTTAATCCCTATCCAATTTGATTGTTTTTGGAGCTTGAATGTCTTTTCCTTTAATAAATGTTGGAGGTAGGTTTAATACACGGTAAGTAATGTTTTTTATGGCAGTTGATGATTTTATTGTCCGTGTGATGCATTGATTTGATGCCAATCTTTGTGGGTAGTTTGTTGAGGTTTAGTCCTATCAGTAGAACGGGGAATTAGTATTAGTCTAGTTTCTTCTTTTTATGGATGCACGTGCCGTTTTTTTTTAATCTCGCCTCTAGAAAAAGAAAGATTATCCGTCGTCGTCCTGGCATTTGCGCAGGCTTGGCGAAATTTCGAAGTTAGGCGGCGGTCGCACCTGACCTCGGCCCCCACCCGGCCAGCGACCCGACTCCCACCCGCTACGCCCCCACCATCCCCGACTTCCCGTCCAGTCTCGCCTTTTGCCAATATTTTTGGCGATTGGTACTAGAAACGCAGTTGGGCGAGGTAGGGACGCACTTGGAAAGGAAAGCCTTCTCACTCGGCAAAACGTTTTATTTCGTCGTCACTACTCGACAGCGTCACACCTCGTTCCCAAACGGAGTATAATTCGATATAAAATCTATTTTAATTTTTTTCCTTCGGATCCGTCGGGGTGATTTTTATTATTGTTTTGGTTTCTTGTGCGCCTGCTCCGATCTCGGGGATCAGCTGAAGTTTGACAGACAATTCGGCGACTTTTGTCATGAGCCCCTTTAACGTATGCGATCTATATTTAGACGATTGAAAAGGTAAGATATTCTCATTTTTAACAAGATAAACGTTTTATTTTTAATCGTCGACGCATCCGAGCATGTCAAAACGGGAATTTTGAACGAACGGACGGATTGCTTATTGGCGTCTTTGTTTTGGTGGATCAGCTGGGGTCCGACTCCCAGTTTCATTTCAACACCGATGACCTTCGTCTTTTCATTATTTCAACTACCTCTGTTTGTTTTTTACTCTTTTTTCCTCCAAACTTCTTTACTTTTTTTTTACTTTCGAAGACCCACCTTCTTCTTTTTAATTTGATCCAAACTGGTATCGAATTCACGACGAGAGAAACAAAGGCAAAGTGGCTAACAAAAAGAACTATTTCCATCCTCTTTTTTTTTTTTACTTATTGGAAAAAAAAATAAAAATACACCGTGGCGTTCATAATCGACGGTATTAACGATTTATTCCGTTTCTGTTTTAATTATAATAATAAAAAAAAGCCTGTATCAAATTATAAGTAAAACTTCGCCTTGTGCAAGTTTCTCGACCTTTTTCCTCTCACGGTCGGCGGTAGAGAATGGATTATCTTTTAAACTTATTTTTATAAACAAGTTTACTTCTCAAGGATGAAAAGAAGAGGTTGCTACATCCACAAAATCGATTAAAAAATATAACAAAAAATTCGTATAAAATACTTAGAATCTTGTTTTTGTTTTAAAAAAAGACAAGATTATTAAATTAATAACTGTACCAAAATAATTAGTCATACTTATGATTGTAGATAGCAATTTTCTCACTTGCTTTATCAACCCAAATTGATAATTGCTAATCAAGTTTTTGTTATTGTTGATTAATCACATTTAGCAAAATCGTTTTGATTTTTTAAAATTATTATTTGAATATAAGTTATTTCTTTTATCGCTCATTGTTTGAATCTGTAAGCCAATAGCTTTTATGCCAATAAGAAGAAATGGTAAAATTATGGTTTCTGATTTAGCATGTTTTCCTCTAATATTAATAAGAAGCAGTTCAATTGGGGGTGGGGAAGCGTGTAAAGTTTAGTATGCCTGTTGCAATTTTGGGCCTAGGGCAGGGTTAAATATAGACAATTGCTTTTAACTTTAACAATCAAGGTTGTGATTTGACCTAAAATGCGTCCTAACGAAATCTGGATCATTGCATTCAAAATACATTTATTTATAAAATTATGTTCAAGCTGTTTGTTGATTTGTTACATTTTCTATTCCTTACATTGAATGCTCTAAATTCTTAAAACTCCAGTATTAGGGGGATTTGTAAGCATTATCAGGTAAAGAAGACTAATGGAAAATGGTAGATCCCCAAAGTTTGACCTGGAACCTTTTCATCCTCATTTTAGGGAATGAAGAATAAACATAAAATATTCAACTGTCCTTATTTCAAATACACTTCCTTTATTGTAAACAATATTTAAGTAATAATAATAATAGTGTTTTATTAGCTTTTTTCAGTCAAATACAATATTTACAAATTTTTAATGCATAGGCATGGGCTTCAGTCTGCCAGCCAATAATAATTAAGTATATATTGTTAATTAATTTATTAAATGTGTTCAAAATCAATTAATTTTTAAAATCAACTTTGTTTTAAGTTGGTTTTAATAAAAAGGTTGATTCTGTTTAAAGATCTTCTTGGTTTCTTTTTATAAAGATCAGGTACAACCAGTTTTTATTTTGTTTTTATATGTTGTTTATATTTTGAAGCAGCCTTGTTTTCGCTTCATCCTACAAAAACCTTCATAATAATTCAGATGTGCCTTAATTATAAAGATTTTTGTATGCTGAAGGGGAAGCAAGGCTGCTTCGAGACATGTACAATTTATTACAAAATAATTGATTGTATCTGTTCTTCATAAAAAAAAAGAAACCGACAAGAAATTTTTTTTATTTTTATTTTATTACCACAAACTCTTTTTTGACCAAACTTAGTGTTTTGTTACACCTAGTTTTTTTTCTGTATCTCTCAATCAGTTAAAAAGTAATATTGCAATAGTAGCATGAATGATTTAATAGAATTGGCTTGCAAGTACCCTGTATAAGTACCCTGTATATAAGATATGAATCTACATGCCATGTGTTATATTAGATGAAATATCATTTTTTCGTCACTGAAAGTTTTAGCCTTTTCAGATTATTTTAAACACAACTAACTAAATGTACACACACACACAAAAAAAAAGGATGGAAACAGGATTGTTTTGTTTTGTATTATTATTGATTATCCTACATGAAAGGTCGATGGCATATTTTTGGCAAACTTTAAAAACAGGCTAAAACTCCACAAAAATACATATTTCTTCTGTACATAAAATGACAAACAAATATGATTTACTTGAGATGCAATCGTGCAGGTTAAAACACAAGATTGAGGGTAGTACCCAGGAAGTAGTGGTAGTAATAGATCCTACAAGATTTAAATGTGTTCCACAGAAATGCCTAGAGAATCAGCATTTTACTAGTGATTGTTAATATTACATTGACATCTATTTTATATAACCTGTATAGTGCAGTAAAATCCTTAGTATGTTTTTCATAAAACCAGTATATTCTAAAAAGAATTAGTTGTTTTTTTAGTTTAGTTAAAAGCACTGATTCGCAAGAATAATACTAATAACAAGAAGAATACTAATTAATTGCCTAAGGTATTAACATCTTGTAGGATTTCCTTATAACTGTTTTAATACAATCAGCTCATTTTTATGAACAATTTTCTTAAAGCGTTGTGAAGAAGACATTTTTTACTATCAGAATCGCTGATTTACCTTCTAATGGCCTTTTTGCGCAGAACTTCTGTTCCCACAGGTTTTTTAAATTTTTTAATTCTTTTAAACTTGTTTGTTCACTAATATTCATTTTTATTATTTGATATCTTAATCCTTTCCAACGGTGACCTCCTTGGGTAACTTATTTGATAGTAATCGCAGGAAATCCTTTTCACCCATTGCAATACATTGCCTTCTACTTATTTTAAATCACTTAAAAAAATCAGTTATTAATTGATTATATTATTTAAAAATATTTTTTTAAAACTTTTATTGTATTGTAAAAATGTGTGGTGATTAGTGGCCGTTAATCGATATTTATTTAGAAATCGTGAGATGCGGTCTGGTGTGATGTAGGTTTCAGAAAAACATTTTCTTTATCGTGCCAACGTTTTGATCTTTATTGAGACCATCTCGAAGATCGAAACGTTGACACGATAAAGAAAATGTTTTTCTGAAACCTATATCACACCAGACCGCATCTCACGATTTCTAAATAAAAATTGTATTGTAACTACATTGGTAAATGTGAAAAATACCATTTTATCCTCTTACTCTTTAATCAGGAGTATCTTTTATTGTTCGATTTTACATAAAACATTAAGAAAGCAATACATTCTAGTGTTACTCTTTGTTCCATTTTCTTGTTTTTCTCATATTATTAAAACTCACCTTGGCCAGGCCATGTGCTATACAGTCATTTCCTGTTGGGTTCATTGCCAAGAAGTGTTCCTCGGCGTCATCTTTGTTTTTATTTATTTCTTTGCGGTTATGCTGGCTGTAAGATGCAAATTTTATGCTTGTCATAATTTCACTATTTGTCATTAAAATAGATTCATTTTAATAGGTTACATTCTTTAATTTTAACATGTTTTGTCGATTGATATTCAAAAATCATTATGCTCATATTTTCAAATTCTTGAGGCTAGTTTTTGTAATCATTGCTGTCATTTGGAAATAATAATACATATTAGACTAACCTGATATTTCAGCACTTGCTGGAGGCTGATTAAATGAGCTAATATTTTTTGAGTATAATCATTTTTATTTTATCTAAAGGCAAATAAAGATTTTGTTTTTGAAGCCTTGTAGTGATTATTTTTATCTCCATGAAAGTTGTATATGGTAGTCGGGGATGACCACAGGACCAAGTGGGTTTGAATTTAAGATATCTTTGAGCTGTTTCCATATTTAAACAGTGGACACAAAATTATTACCAATTATTGCCCATCATTACAATAAATGCAAATTCAAAAATGAATATTACGTACTACTCCAAAATGAGCTGAAAAAGAAACTGCCTGACCTCTTGACCTTAATAAAGAAGGAAATGGCATCAAAATTCTTAGGCTGATTTATTGAAATATATTTTGTGTGACATGACCTAGAAACCCTTTCATTAAAATTCAAGATTCCATGTTGGATCTAAATGCAAAATCTTCATCTGTTGAATAAGTCTACATTTATTATTTTCTATTTCCCGTACTAACACTGTATTTATTTTTGTTTTAGGTAGCGGAATAAGGAGGAGAAAGGAGGCAGGGTTTTAAAATGTTAGATTGACAAGAAAAACGAGCTTGAGTAGCTCGTAAATAGAATATCACGCACGTCTAGTTTGTGTACAAGTGGGCCCAAGAAGACGGAAAGATGTTGTTCATATTCCACGTAGACACGGGGACGATGATGACATTCGACATCAACCTCGCCCTTGAAAAGTGAGTTGATTGAATTTTCAATTTTAGAAATAGACCATTATACGTATTAAATTGTTTTTATCCTTGCTTTCTTAATGAAGGAAATGGTTATGTTAATTTCTGCATAATCAGTAAAGGAAATGCTTTTCACTCCAAGGTTAAATAAATTAAATCCATTTAGTTAACTAAATATCGGCTTTTAAAGCTTTGAAAATAGGTTGGATTGATTAATTTTTTCCAGCGAAATGAGATTAGCCTTTTATGTGAATAAGGAAAATACAACTCAATTTCTTTTTATTTAGCCACACAATTGTTTTCCATTAGGTACACTTTTATTACAGCTTGATTTTGTTTCTAACATTTGAATGATTATATGGAAGCAATAAGGTTCCGCTTTAATTTTAATTATATTGTCTATCTATCGTTACATACGGTAATACTTATAAAAATGATTTATTGAAATTTAAATGTGGCGCATTGGTTCTAATTTGTTATATTCAATTGTAAAAATTTCAAAATAGTATAAACTTAGTTACTTACTAACACTATTGTCTTTTTCATAATATTCTATTGATAAACAGCTATAGTGCTCTCTCTGTAATGAACTGAAAAATGTGGAAGGAAGTGTGTGTGTGGTGCACATGCGTGCGTGCAAAAATGCAAAAATACTTATTAAAGTATATATACTAAATACTATTATACTTAGCCTAAAAAAATATAGCTGATGGAATATTTCATTTGTTAGTAGCGAAAGGAGGTGAGGGATTCACTTAACAAAAGATATTTGCGAAAATTTGTTTATTCTAAGCTGGTCTTAGTCTTTGATCACTCACTCACTCTATCTATCAATCTATCTTTCTGTATCTTACTCATTCACTCACTCACACTCTTACTCACTCTCTCACTAACTCTATCTATCTATCTATCTATCAATCAATCTATCTCTCTCTCTTTTACTCATTCACTCATTCACTCACTCACACTCTCTTTTTATATATCTTGGCCTCTCTTACTCACTCTCTCTCGCTCTCACTCATTGACTAACTCACTCACTCACTCAATCTTGCTGTCACTCCTTTCCCCCTAAATAATGTTTCTTTACAATTCTCAGTTAAATTTTTTTACTTTTTACTGGAATGTTCGGAATACTGAAATTCAGATTAGGGAGAGCCGTTTATTAAAACTCACAGTAAATTGTCTCTTTTTGTTGTTAGAGTATATGTAAAATAAGCCAAAATCAATCGTGTAATCTCCTTATTCACTATTTTGCTATCCTTATTTTCATCGTATAATTGTCTTAATAAACTGCCCGACTGAACAGTTGTATAAGCTTTGCAGCCAAAAGTAATCTATTTGTAAAATCTGAATGTATTTCTTCCGTTTGTGTTTCAATACCAGACAATTACATTATTCGGCAAACTCTGTTAAAACAATTTTTTATTTTTTGCTGATCTCAGCGTATGAAATGAAATTTGAAGGCCAAATTGTAACTGGGGGGTTAGAAATAGTTTATTAAGACTGTTTATACAGTATTCCAATTGTAACTGTCGAAAATTTTCCATCTTCCACTTCTGGATTTAGCCTCCGGCCATTCCCCACTTTGAAGTCCAGACACCCCCTCTTGTGTTCTTTATCCCTTCCTTAATCCTACATGCACAGTTCACATGTTGGCTTTATTTACAGTTGAATCACCTTTTTCATAACTAAACAGCCTTGTTTTGCCAAGCTTTAAAAATACTGCTGAAGTAAAATTAATCGTTTCCTCGGGTCTTTTTAATTTCATTTTTTTATCTGACCTCAAACTCTCTTATGTAAAATTTATTAAATAATGAACTACCATTCATTCAATGACAGTAATGTTAACAATGATTTATGAATTAACAATTTTTTTTATAATTATATCTACTTAGGTATAACATTGTGAAATATTTTTGAGGCGATGAACCTGTAGAGCTTCAACTAAAATATCCAAACCTATGCAGCTAAAATAAGACTATTTTTACTCTGATGATTTTCAAAATGGTTGCCTCAATTTTTTTTAAAATACTTACAAAAGTTAGATGCGAGCAATATTATAAGAAGTACTGAGACTTAAAACCCAACCTTATAGACTTATGATTTTAATAATATACAATGCACGAACCCACAATTTTATTACAAATAAAAACTTTTTACTGCTTATATTTAATTACTAACAATAATTATTTGCTAATAAGTAATTTTCAGTTTTATCTTGTGGTTAAAAATAAATATTAAATATCCAGTCAGGCTTCAACACTAAATTTTAGGAGTTATTAGCTATTGATGATTTAAAAAAAAAAATTCTAATAATATATCTATAGGTATATAAAGAACATACTTCATACATTCACTAATTTCGTGGTCTGCTTGACCAATTAATATATTATAATTAATTAAGGCTTTTAGTTGAGATAAAAAAGTCAATGGCACGAGCGGGATTCGAACCCACGATCTTCGGCTTGATATGCCGCTGCTCTACCACTTGAGCTATCGTGACCTTGATCCACTCGGACACCAACTTCCCATCTCAAAAATGGCAAAAAGGAGGGAAAATTCAAAAGGTGCGGTTGAGGCGTATCAAGCCGAAGATCGTGGGTTCGAATCCCGCCTGTGCCATTGACTTTTTTATCTCAACTAAAAACCTTAATTAATTATAATACTTCATACAATTATAACAATGTACATGCATTGTCTTTTTCCTCTCTTTAAAATAAATTACTATCTGAACATTAAAATACAATATGTAGATATGATACATTTACAAATTGCATTGACACAGTAAATGACTTGATGGGAATTAGCAACCTTTATTGCTCTCCTAACTTAATTCAAGGGCTAGTCCTTGGAAAGGAGTTCCCATGGTCATCTCTCCTTTAGTCCTTGATGGTATTATGTCGGAGTTATATTGGGCTGAGTGGATAGTTTTTCGTAGAATACGGAAAATTTGGTGGGGAGTAATTTATTTACAAATGATATTTTGAGGTCTCTGGAGGGTGGTATTAGAACCATAGTAGGAGGGAGCGTTGACTATGATACTGTGGACTTTGGATTGGAAGAACTGAATTCGATGGATATTGGTCGGTTTAGCGGTGCCCCATTGTTCTAGTCCATATGTCCAAATGGGTCAAAGATTGGGATCAGAAGAAAGCATGGTTGCCATTGGTGTAAAAGATGCACGAAGAGTAGAGGTCTGCCTATACACGCTGTCCTGTGGCTCTTAGTTTTTTTACTTAATTACTTTAATGCTTAGCAAGATTTTTACTTTATATCATTCAAAAATAACCTCTGCCCAAGCTGATTTTACATTTTAAACAATGTTTATGTTTTATGGTGAATTTTTATTTTACTTTTGCCATTCTTTACTAAAGAAAAAATGGAGACTTGAGGAAAAGAAAGATAAAAAGTTGTGAAATTATTGTAAAATGGTCATAGTTTGTAACTATATAGGTCAATAGATCTTTCATCATGGGATAATGTTGTATGTTAGATTAAAAAAAAAGCTGATTGAGTGATTGCTATTTAAGTACAACTAATATTTAAAATAATCAAATAAAATATAAAAGAATAAGAAAATTTAACAGGAGGAGAGGAAAGTTAGTTCGTTTTTCACATTCAAACTTGCTTGCATCTCATTGAAGGATGCTCAGAGAGAAAATAATAAAAAAGCCTTAATTGCAAAAATTTAATTTTCAGCGTCGGACAGCTAAAAGAGGCGATTCAAAGAACATGCGGTATTGCCGTCGACAAACAGGTCCTTCTTGTGAGCGGTGGAGAATGTCTAGAGCCAAATGTGAGAGTATGCTCTTATTCGGCTGGGACCGACACCAACCCGATATTCCTTTTCAGCAAGTCAAGCATAGAAAGCACAACACCTCCTTGCCCGAGCATAGACTACGGTGTTGGTAAGTGATGAAATCGTATTAATTAGACTTAAAGGCGAGATGTATTGTTTGAAATTTATGCAATGTGTGCCCGTCTCAAGGTTAAGTTGATTTCTTCCCCACGCTTTTACTCGTTGTATTTCCTTATCTTTGATAAGATCCTGTGGTGACACCCTGTCTGCATTGGATTTCATCATTTTCATTTTTTTCTTCTTGAAAAAAAAAAAAAAAGTAATCGCCAAAGATAAGTAAAAATTAGTTAATATTACAAAGCCCCGATGAAAAAATATAAATATTATTTTGATCTAGTTATAGTGAACTAAGATGGCAAATAAAATTGATTATTGTTTTGTTTACTTTAGTGAGTATGTGTTGGAACTAATAAGACCCATCAGCTTTTTACACATTTTAGACAGGTCTTTATTAGTTCAAACACATCCTAACTTAAGTAAATGAAATACTAGCCCGAAAAAATATAAAATTATTTTGAGTTTTATGGTGATTATGATTTTGAGTTTTAAAACGATATTTTTCGCTGTTTTAAGCATTTTTGATATGTAACCAGTTGTTAGTGATTCAACCGGGCATTTAGTAGACGAGTAGATCACAAGGCCATGCTGTTATCAAGTATTAAATTAAACCATAGGCTGTCTAAAACAAGTGGTTCACCTTAAATGATTAAACGAGCCCGTTTGTTCACACTAATTTATACAACATTAATTCAAAACGGAGTAATTTGATTGTGTTCCCTTCCAATTGTCATAGTTGTTTGATTAAAAAAAATACATAATTAATTTTATAATATATTTTAAAGCTATCTGCCAGGATTATACATTTTTATTTCATTCGTGTTGAATGTTGTTTTGATAAACTACAATTTTGTTTGGTAAAAACATTTGTAAAATTTGATCGCCTTGGTAAATTTTATGAAAATTTTTTACTTTAAAATTAAATGACTTTTGTATTGATACATTTCAGTATCATTCAGTTGATTTTGTTTGAGGATTGTTTGTTTTTAACCAAAAATAGCAAAGTTAAAAATTAATCTGTTCCTTGGGAAACAATACAAACGTAAAACTTAACAAAAATAATGAAAAAAACTTTAATCAGGCAGTCTATGAAATACTATATTTTCCTTTTTATTAAGTTTCATCGTAAAATGTAATAACCAATTTATTTTTTTTGTACTGAGTATATTGCATTTAGTGATAAAGTGTGATAAAGCATAGTGTGATAAACTAATTTTTTGACCCTGAGCAATTTTTTCCTTTCAAAATTTTATCTCTGATTTTTTAAAATCTATGATGCCCAATAAAATTAAGTTAATAGGCTTTTATTGTGTTTCCATTGTAATTAATATAGGAATTGATTCGATAATGTTGGTTTTCAAATTTCTATGTCAATTCATCAACAACAAAAGATAGTTTTAAATTTTATACAATTATTCAGTTTGGCTTTTAATAACTTACTTTACACCACGATGAATTTCTTTTGAAAATATGCATTTTTTGTGATTATTCAATATAAAATGTTCATTATTGGTTAAAAAAATCCATAAGTTCACTTTGCATGTATTTAATTAAAAAAAAAGTGAAATTGAGGAAATAGTGAGCCATAGTCGCATTTTAATTCCATATTTCAATAAAGGTCTAGCAACAGTTCAACTTTCCCTATTATTTTCTTTTAAAAATTCGGTAATTTATCCTCCTTGCACAATATAGCCTAATAAATTAATAACAATCATTAATAAAGTAAGTGAACCACTTTCTAAAATAAGTCTTTTCTAATTTACTCATGAAAGTTGTTATTTCGAAACTTTCAACAGAGTGCATCCAGATAGATTTATATTAATAATTCATTGACAGATTGTAAAGCATTGTTAAACGATGTTTCAGATCCGGATTTGAAGGATGAGGTTGACCAGTCGCTCAACTTAGCCCCTTCTAAGCAGACAGTCGCCGTTCGCTCGCAATTAGCTCAGCAGTTTTGCGAGTTAGCCAGATACCAGGCCAAAGTGTGTGAGAAGCTTGTACATGACCAGCATATGCAACAGCAAGGTAATACTCATCAAAAATTATTATTGTGGATGGTAGGTCAATAGAACCATCCCAAAAATTATCATTCAAGTAGAGATAAACTTTTTTTTTTAACGGCTTGTTTGTATTATGTCTGCGACATCACTAAATAAATTAATTTTTGCATTCTGGGTCAGGGCTTTGTATTATGATGGCACATTTTTTCAGGGTGCTTGGGTCAATAATATCAACTAGGTATTATATTAAGGTATTATATAAACTAGGTATTATTAAAGTGTATTAAATATATTAAGTTAAAATTAAGATACCTTTTATCCTTCTTATCCTCCCTTGCTAAATTTTCTAATCGTTCATCTTCGATAAAATGTGATTAATTATTCTAAAGTTTTGATTTAAAAATGTTTAATTTAATGTCAGGGGCATTTTAGAAAATGGTACACAAAAATAATAAGTATTTTTCAAGTCAGTAGGCCACTAGAAATGTAAATAAAAAGAAAATTTCAGTTTATATGTCCTAGTCAACACGTTTATTATAATGTCAAAGTTTTTAGTACATAATTACAATATTATTTCAGGCTGGGCCACTGTGATTGCCAACCTCGATATCATGCCAAAAAAATTATCATTCAAGTAAAGATAAACTGATTTTTTTTATTTTTATTATTATTTTTTTTAAATGGCTTGTTTGTATTATGTCTGTGTCTTATCACTAAATAAATTATTTTTTGCATTCTGGGTCAGGGCTTGGTATTATGATGGCACATTTTTTCAGGGTGCTTAGGTCAATAATATCAACAGGTTAAAATAATTAAGTTAAAATTAAGATATCTTTTATCCTTCTTATCCTTCCTTGCTAATTTTTCTAATCTTTCATCTTCGATAAAATGTGATTAATTATTCTAAAGTCTTGATTTAAAAATGTTTAATTTAATGTCAAGGCATTTTAAAAAATGGTACACATAAAATATTAAGTATTTTTCAAGCCAGTAATTCAATAGAAATTTAAAATAAAAGAAAAATTTCAATTTACAGGTCCTAGTCAACAAGTTTATTATATGTCAAAGTTTTTAGTACATACTTACGTTATTATTTCAGGCTGGGCCGCTGTGATTGCCAACCTCGATGACATCACAGTCGCATTCAAAGCGAGGAGTGAAAACTTTGAGCAGAGCTTCAAACAACATCTTGAAACAAGGGATCAATATATGAACATTTTAGACAGTTTCAACAACGATGTGGGTACGTTGTCCAAGATTCCCGTTCTTCCGGCACTTATGGAAAAAGACGAACTCGAGGCATCATCGTCATCAACGACATCTGCATCTGGGCCACAAACCCTCTTGCAGTGGATTTCATCGAAAGACAGTCAGTCTAGCCTCGACCAAGTATCAGAACAGTGCAAAAAGGGCTTAGATCAGGTAATTTAATTTGCATTATTACAATTTGTTGTTGTAATATTAGTTTTTCTTATATTTATTTTTTAAAATTTTTTTTTTAGTTTGATGAAAAAATTCTCGAGGGGCTTAAGGCTGAAGTGAGATCGGCCCTTGATGCTGCACAAACCAGTGAGCTTCGGGAGATCAAAGGCCTTGGAGACAGGCTTTACGGGCTGGAGCAACTTCGTGTGGAAACTAAAAAGATAGTTCAGGAACAGACTGATTTGGCACAAGTATGAAAAGTTTAATTAATTGTTTTTTAATTATTAAATTTCATGTATTATAATTTTGGTAGGCATTTTTACTGAACCAAGCAAGGGCGGCGAATATAGGAGACACTAGCATTCTTCCTGATCTTTGCAATTCCCACAAGCGACAACTAGTAGTTATGCTTAGGAATCATCACCAGCTCAGGGACATCAGAAGGAGGTGTATTAAAGCAAAACAGGAGTTGTCAACAAATTTGTACCATAGACTGAAGTAAGTTAAAAAAAAAAACCCATGCACTAAAAGTCATTTCTCAATCAGTGACTTAGAAAGAAAATTTTTTCAATTAGTTTTATTTTGATGAAATTTTCTCTTAAACTAGGATGAAACATATTACAGTACTTTAAATTTTCCGAGTCTACAATATCTTTTCAGGTGGGTTATGTTTGTTGAGAGCAGAATCAGCGAGCTAGATATGAAATTAGTTATGTACCATGAGAACATAAAGAGGCTACGCAGGCAGTTAGAAGTTTTATCCCAGATTCACCTTGCCCCCAATGTTTATTTGACTGCAGTTGCTGAGGTTGTCCGCAGGCGGGCTTTCTCTCAAGCTTTTCTAGTCGTAAGTATATTAGATATGAATTTTTTAAGATATGGAAAAAATGGAACAGTAAAACTCAATAAACACATTTTCAGTGGGCAAATGATTTGGCGTGTCAACTCTGCGCAGTTCACTCTGAGGAAGTGGCAAGGAGGAAAAATTTTCAAAACCAGTTCGAAGGTCACTTCCTATCATCGCTCTTTCCTGGCCTTGAAGATTCCCCACCACCTTTTGCCACTCAGGCTCCTCCACTTTTTGACTCCGAGTTGCCAAAAGTAAGTTGATTGAAGTTTTGGTTTCTTTTGCTTTCACTGTCGTTCCCGTTTATGGTGGATTTCATAGAGCTATTGTTTTCTACTTACGGGAATGACTAAATCAAATGGGAATTTACAGAGGGCACAGTGAAAAATAACACTTGTGTTTTTAAGCTGGTCCCTACAAAGTAGAAAATTTTTGATTAACGACAGTGTACATCAATATCGAGTGAGTGTTTTTTCAAATTTTGACTATTACCTTTTACCCCTATTAACTCTAGGGTGAAAAAACCCTGATTTAAAGATATTATTAAGAAAGGAGTAATGTCTGTATAGAATAGGATGCTCACGACATGAAAACAGATAAAATTCATTTGAGGCAGTCTTTCTGTACAAGTTTGATCTCGGGCATAGAGCAGGAGATGCCTGTCAAAATTTATGTGGAATTTTGGAAGAAACTGAAATATTATTACGTCAAAGACCAGCCTCATTGAGCAACTACTAACAAGTTTAAAAGACTTATTCGTGGTGTTGCAGGATAAGGACGAATTAACTGTAGCAGAGCTATCAGAGAGATTTCGGCACATAGTACAATGATAAATAAGAATACGATCTCTGGGTTAAGTTGTGAAATTTGATTAATTGGTTCCCATGAATTACCCTCAGGAACGACGAAGACCACGAGGCTTGTTGCGTTTCACAACTCAATAGGAATAAATCAGAACGGTTTATTTCCTATTTGGTCACTGGGGATGAGAAGGGAATCCTGCACAAGGACTGTTAATAAATCAAACAAAACACCGCCATTGACGTCAAAAGCAGGACCCTCCCTTAGATTAGATTAGATTCTGTATCAGCCAGCCTATTTATGATCTGTGCACCATGACCAGTATTAATCTATTGAGCATCTCATTTTTTTTCTCAATCCAGAGTTCATTGTTAAGCTTAAGGCTTTTTATCAGACCTTGCTTCTGTGTGTCCTCAGGATTAGGAATCTCAGCCTATATAGGCCATCGCACCAACAGAGGACATGTTCCGCGTTTTACTTCTTCGCAATATCTGCACAGGCTTGTTTCTGCCACTTCGAATCTATATATGTCCGAGTCCAACTATTATGCTAGTCCTAGCATGTCCTAGATTTAATAGTTCTGCTGTTAGTTTCCGTTTGATAAACTTTTTTGCATGCCTCTGTCCTGGGTGACATTCCATTGAACAAACTTATGTTTAACCCATTGCCTAATGGATCCATGTTTTTGGCAGCTTGGTATGCAACAAAAAGGGTTCAGGGCCAATAGGTGCCCTCATCAAACTTTTTTGACCAATAAGACCCCCCCACCTTGTAATGTCCTAGGCAGCTAGGGGGATAATCTTGAGCTAGCATTGAAGGAAAAAACTTCCAGCCCTGGGGAATGGATGTAACATCACGTTTCACCATAACAATGCCGAGGGTCCCACAGCTGCACTCACTTCACTGACTCAGAGTAAAATCGACGAGTTACGCTGGGAACAAATGCCTTCCAAACTCTTATACCTTGACCCCTTCTGATTTTTACTTGTTTCGCTCCCTAGACAACCTTTTAAAGTAAAAAAGTAATTCATGTCAAACAGGAGGACTTGACATTCAACCAATGTTGGATGTCGCAGACGAGGGGGTCAAACAACTTTACAATATTTCTTTCATACTATTCTGTATTAAAATTGGGCTGTGCCAGGAATTAAACCCAGGATCGCTAGCCTGGCAAATATGAGTTGGTTGCCCTAACAACTTGGCCTCCATGGTCTCTCTACTACTTAAGCCTAGTACGCACTGAGATTCTTTGAATCGATTCATGTTGCGGGGTAGAGTCGGGGCTGCGTAGATTCATTGTTGCGATGCAGCCCCGACTCTGCTCCACGACAAAGAACAATGTCCAGACCAAGATTCAGTTCACATTCATCAGTGCCTGCGAAAATGACGGGGAAACTAGCTCTCAGGAATTTCCCTTGCTATTTTTTGCATTGTACATAGTACATCCAATTGGAAGTGCATTAAAAAACTTCATTTTAAAGTGTGCATTTTTTTTTTTCAATTTCGGCGACGGAAACACTGACTTTTTGGGTTAAACCGTTCAATGTTTGGCTTTTCAATTCCCGATTTCTGTATTCCGTGAATGATACATCCCCACAAACACCGATGGGAATGTATGTCTTCAATAAACTGTAAAGTCAACTTGGTACTCCACAACATACCTTTAATACAAGACAATATCAAAATCTTCAAGAAAACACCCACTAGAACGTCAACTAAACAAATGAAGCAAGAGCGCTTGTTCCGATTCACGTCGGCAAATGTTGTGCAACATTGAGTCAAAGAATCCCACATCGGATGGGATTCAAAAGAGTTCGATAATGCTAGCCCGCAACACACCAGATTCATCGCAACAATGAGTCAGGGCAGCCCGGACTCATACTAGACGCAGCCGAGACTCTCCGAAGATTCAAAGAGTCGACTCAAAGAATCCCAGTGCGTACTAGGCCTTAGAGGTAGAGAGGTAGAGAATTTTTGAATGAAAACTCTGAAAAATTGGACTTTTGATCTTCAATTTCTTCTCGTCTGTGATCAGACTTTTACAAAAAGAGGATATTTCTGCTTGTAATGCAGTATTTTACAGAAAATGAAAGAAATTGTTTTGGATTAAAAATAAAAATTTTAATTTTTAGTTTTATTCAAAGTTTATATTTTGAAAGTTCACGTTATTCTGAAAAGCGAAAAAACGTACGCACACACCCAATCACAAAATGTTGAAGTAATGTTTGTCTTCTTCTGACATTCTCTCATTTTCCGGAGGTTAATTCTTCTGAGTCATAAATAACATAAATAAAAAAACCTTTTTGTCAAAATTTCAAATTGTATTTTAGCGAAAAAGTTTAAAGTAATAAATTATACCATACTAAATGTAATAAAAAACTATTTTATTGATAAATGATTGAAAAATTCAAACTGACGACAGATCAAAAATTAAGAAAGTAATTTTAAAACCTTTACCTTAGTTTATTACCCTAATATACTTTCATAGTCATAATAATTTATAAGAAAGAAAAGTAATTTGTGTTAGATTTTTCTTTTTTGAGGTTCTAATTAAAACTATTTGCCTTTCAGCTTTCCATTGATGATGTCGATAGGCTTCGATCTGAACTTCCAGACTTGGCTCTTTCGCTTTCAATACCTGATCTCAATACAATAACCCAGTTTTTTCTTAATCGTTCTATAACCAACTTAAAGACAGAAGGCTCGAATGGGCCTGTCCCTAGCATTGAGGATAGAATTGTAAGTTAGTCTTGTTAAAAATTTATATTAAAGTTCCTTAATGATAAAATTTATCGAATGGAAAAACAGGTTCAAGCAGTTTCTGCTGCTGGGCTCAGTAGCAATCTAGATCCGGCTCTTCTACAGCCGGCGGAAAATAGTCTTTCGTTAGCACAGTCTGCAAACACGACCCATCCCATAAGCAGTGATAGGTTTGTATTTATTGGTGTTTATCTGTGTTTTACATTTTTTCAATATGTTTGTATTTTCTCAGAGGGTTCGAATCAGAAACAGACACAGAGGAGTTTGAAAAAGTCGGTCAAAGCCCAGGCGAACTAAATAAAGTTCAAGTATTTGTTTATCTCTTGAATGATAAAAAGTATTTGGCTTTTTGTTAGTAGTAAAAATAATTCTAATCGGTTTTTAGAATGATCTCCGGTCAAATTTAAAAGCTCAGTTACAAAATATAAATGGCGCAGTTGAACAAGCTCTCAATGAACTTCGCAGTAACATGGGCCAATTAAAACAATGGGTGCTTTGTGAAAGATCAGAGCTTGATTCGCTTGTACAAAGAGTAATATCTGCCAGCAAGGATCACAATGACAAACTTTTACAAGTAAGTGTAATCTACCATTAAAAAAAAGAAAAGAAGTATTTGACTACGTATGTTTTCAGGCATTAAAGGACAAAGAAATAGAGTTGGAGAATGTTATTTCACAGAAATACGAACTAGAACAGAGATTGAAACATGCCCTAGACTCTGAGGAAAGGGAGAGACTTTTGAGAGAAGAAGCCGAGAAACGCCTCGAGGCCGAGAGAGTAGCCGGGAAGGCGGTGGTTGAGCAACTTAAGGTGAACCATCATATCGAACTAGAAGCCTTGCGAGGCCGGTACCGGCTCTATTACAATCAGGGCATAGAAAAGTCCTTCAATGACATTGAAGAGGAAGATAAAATGGAGGTAAGATTGACATTTTGAAATCGAATGAAAATTTCTCACTAATATCTTGTTATCTTTTGACAGCGAGAAATTATGGAACGAGGACAACACGAGTCCATAGTTTCCCAATTGAAGGAAAAAATGCTGGCGGAACATGAAAAAGCTCTGAATGAACAGAGATCTTACTGGCAAAGGGAGTTGGCCCAGGCTAAAATTCGAGTAGATAGTGATAAACAGGTTAATTTAAAAAAAAAAATTATTAACTGCGTATTCCTTTTAATAGCGTTAAAAAACCGATACTTTTTTTCTCAGGTTATTTTCAACGAAGCTGTTAGGCAAGTTGCAGCAGAAAAAGACAGGCTACTCGACAGTATGAGAGTAAGGGAAATCTCATTGGTTGCTGAATGTGCTAAACAACAAGAAACTATAACAAGACTGAGCGATATTAATTTGTCGTAAGCACTTTATATATTTATCTGTGTATATTGTCACTATTGATTTTTCTCATCATGCATTTGTTAGCTGTGTTTTTAAAAAAAGTAATTTTTTGTTTTATTTTTTTAAAGTAAATTTTTGTTTGTTTAACAAAGTGCTTCTTGCCAACACAGAAAAGCTTTTCCAAAATTGTGGGATTCATTCCTAAATTTGTTTTATGTAAATTGTATTAGCATATTGTATAATTTATGTGGTCGATGGTAAATGTTAGGGTGAAGGGCAGGAAGATTGTAACTTAAGGTTTACAGTCTATTTTATAACAATAAATCATATTATTATTTTTAAAACGTATTCATTTATTTATTTTGATTAATTAACTAAGTTTATATTTAGTTAATTAGCCCTGACAAGGGTAATTATTCATCCCTTCAATAAAAAGGCTACCTCAAACCTATCGGTCTGTCGAGCAGATTTCAAACTTAAAATACCCTCTTGGTATTTAGTGGGTTAACATCTAACAAATTGTACATTTTTAGCATGGAATCGTGTTTTTTTTTAACAATTTTGTTTTTACAATATTTTGTTGCAATACATCATTGGGATTGGGGTTGCCATGAGTCTTTTAAAGGTATATTTTATCATTATGGGGATAACACAACTCATTTTCAGTAATTAAAAGGTTTGTAATTAATTTTATTCTACTGTTATACATTGAGTTATTAAGTGAAATCTTTTTTTTTCTATCTGTGCAAAATATATCTACATTGAGAAAATAGTATAGATAATTATATACAAATCTGTAAAAACTGGCAGATTTATCAGGCCAGGAGGCAGCATGAAGAAGAGAAATCAGCCACTGCTGGAACTCTTTTATTTAACAATTAATTAAGGTTTTCAGCTGAGATAAAAAAAGTCATTGGCACGAGCGGGATTCAAACCCACAATCTTCGGCTTGATACGCCGCTGCTGTACCACTTGAGCTATCGTGACCTCGATCCACTCGGACACTAACTTCCCATCTCAACCACACCTTTTGAATGTTCCCTCCTTTTTAACATTTTTCAAATGTGTAATCTATTTGATTCTCGGCGACAAGTTAGTGTTGGGAAGTTAGTGCCCGAGTGGATCAAGGTCACGATAGCTCAAGTGGTAGAGCAGCGGCGTATCTAGCCGAAGATCGTGGGTTCGAATCCCGCTCGTGCCATTGACTTTTTTATCTCAACTGAAAACCTTAATTAATTGTAAGATATTAATTGGTCAAGCGGACCATGAAACTAGTGAATCTTTTATTTAATTGGAAGGATTAAGACAAAAGGTCATCGTCATTTTAGACAGCATAGAGGATTATAAGGATGGGACATTGGGAAAGTGTTTAGGTTAGTGGATTAAGGTGGAGGGATAGTTGAGAATGAAAATTGAAGAAATGAGTTCGGATCAGATCTTTTTTTAATGGGATTTTAAGATCTTTATAGATCATTTGGTTGGTGACCTAGAAGGGAATGTTTGAGGATATGACAGAGAACTTTGGATGTAAAGGATTCAATTCGTTCGATGTTGGAGGATTGGCCACAGTAGTGAAAATTAGAGGAGCGATGGTGGAAATCAAAACCATGTCTGCAGGGTCTCCGAGTGGAGATGCAGCATAGTGCTGGCATGCTAAACCACTCAGCAACTGCAATACCATATTATCATTATTTTATGTAATTCACTAATTTCGTGGTCCGCTTGACCAATTAATTTATTACAATTAATTAAGGTTTTTAGTTGAGATAAAAAGTCAATAGCACAAGCGGGATTCGAACCCACGATCTTCGGCTTGATACTCCGCTGCTCTACCACTTGAGCCCGCTTTATCCTTTTATTCTTCCATTCAAATACTATAAATACATCCCGGTCATGACACTGACTTTTTTATCTCAACTAAAAACCTTAATTAATTGAAAGATTAATTGGTCAAGCGGACCACGAAAATTATTGAATTTAAAAAATTTAAAATGCAGTATACTTCACTAAAAGCTCTCCGTGGCCATTTCATATGTCGCTGAGAATCAAATAGATTACACGACATTTGAAAAATGGCAAAAAGGAGGGAAAATTCAAAAGGTGGGGTTGAGAAGGGAAGTTAGTGTCCTAGTGGATCGAGGTCACAACAGCTCAAGTGGTAGAGCAGCGGTGTATCAAGCTGAAGATCGTGGGTTCGAATCCCGCTCGTGCCATTGACTTTTTTATCTCAACTAAAAACCTTAATTAATTGTAATTTTATGTAATGTTTACATAACTATTTTCACTCTTTGAACATGGATAAACATAGCACACAAAGGTAATGTTTAAAGACGTCATTGGTCGCAACAATTAAGTCATTGACACAACTCATCACTGTAATGGCCTCTGGGTTTGAATCCAGCGGTTCTGAATTTGAACCTGATCTACTTACAAATTTTTTTTTTTCTCAAAAACTCTGAGGGTTCATATAACATTGTGAAATGACCTTATAAAAACAATTTTAATTTTGATTCAAAATTCCCAATTTTGAGGATAAATTATGAAATATCTGCAAATATTTGAAGAAGATAGTAATTTTTAACAAGATACTTTAATTGTGCAAGATGATGGCATTTCTTCCGTGGATTATAGCAAGACTGGCATATTGATCATTTGTCATTATTATTGATTTTTTCATCTGTATCAGAGTTAATTAATATTCACTTTTTAAAGGAATAATGAAAATCCAGCAACTGACAACTTAGCCAGTCGGCTTCGGGAAGTAGAGGTTGAAAATACCAGGCTGAGGATGGAATTGAATTCTTGCAAAGGCTTTCCTCCTAGAAGCACAAGTCCGTCCACATCAATTGTCACACTGTAAGAACTAAGCTAACGTACTGGAAATTGTTCAAAATGTTGATTAAAATTTTTTAAATTAAATTCAGTGATACCATGTCTAGCTGTAGTAGTAAAGATGCAGCTACAAGCCCTGAATGTTCTCCTAGAAGAAATAGACGATTAAAGAAAACTTTTGTAAGAAATATGAATTATTAATTACGAATTTTTGGTTGGTAATTGATTTATTTTTTCCCCCCAGTCGGAGAGCATAAATAATTTAATAGAACAAGGGAAAATACACACTGGAACGTAAGTTTCTCATATTTTCCCTGCTGTTTTCAGTTTAACGCACAATTGATTATTATAATTCGTGTATAAATGTCTAGTTGTGCTGAAGGTGAAGCTGTGTTGGTATTTTGGAATGACACCAGGCAGGCGTATGATATCTTGCAAAATTCTTCAAAACCCCATTTTCTAGATACTGACAGCATAAAACCCCTCGGTCTCGAATGTAAGTCTAGTTAATATTAAATTATGACGTTCGAAACTCGGCAAATTATAATTTATCTTTAATGTTTGACAGGCACAGATCCGAGAATAAGCTATAGCATTGGGCAGGTTGTACATAAAGATTACTGTCAGGCTAAGAAGGTGAGCTTTACTTTAGATTCTAACAGAATTAAGCAATAACCTTTTATATATACACTCTAGTTTGTAAAAATTTGCCTAAAATGTTAATTTGTATCTTAGGATACCAATCGTTACAAAGTTCCTAAGGGATACAAATTCTATAGAGTGAAAGTAGTCCCGATCTGCAAGAATCTACTTGCAGACCAAGCGTCGACACATCAAGGAAGTTCTTCCATGGGTTCATCAGTTGGGAGTGTGTAATTGGTGAATGGGCGGAACGAGCGGCGTGTAATTCATCTTTACCAGAATTAAGACTTTGCTCGTTCCGAATACCAAAAAGCTAACTTTTTAAGTCAACGATTTTCTTACATATAAACTTTTGTATTTGACAACTCATGAACTCTTTAAATTTAGGGTTTCAGTTATTTTCTTTGAAGTCATAGTTTTATAATTACGGTTAAGGGTATTTTTCTTATAATGTATTAATGTTAAATTATACTAAATGTACATATTACAATATTGAAGCTATAAATTATCGGAAAGGATGTTAAATTCAAAAACTCCGCACTTTTCTTTTTGAAATTAATTTAACTGTAAAGTTTGTGGAATTGTGATAAGACATAGAATGTGAGAATTTTCAGTTTTTATATCAAAAGAAGGTAAATAGATGATTAAAAGTGATATCATGTTATGTATTAGTTTATTATTATTTTTTTTATAATCCTCTAGGGCGGAAATTTGGGGACTAGATTTTTGGGAAATATAAATTAAAATAAATATATCGAAAAGTGCCTTCATAATAAATAAATGACAGAGTGAAAACACTATATTGGGTAATAAAACTAAAAATAGAAAAAGTACAGTACAAAAGCAATATATTTTTGCCTTTTTCCACAGTTTTCTTTTTAGCGTACCTGATTCTTAAATAGAATAAGTTCTCCCTGGAGGAAATAAAAAAAAAAGTCCAAGTCATTTTGTTGGTGTGAATGATAAGAATGAATGTCAAGAGTATTACAGATGAAAACATTTTATTTCTTTTCTTGGGTGAACATTTACTTTGAGTAATATTTTGTTTTTGTTTTTTGGTATGTTTGGTACACAAGCATTTATGCTTATGTATGGGCCTTAAGCAGTTAAAAATTTATGTTAAATGAAAATGCAAAAGTCGTTGTTTAACCTCTATGAAGACCGAAGTTATTTTTCTTGCTAATTAAATTTATTCTATCAATTAACAATATGATAAATCATTGCTTTTGTTATTAATTAAATGAAATTTTTGGTTTTGCTTCTGTCTAAGGCCAGCATTATTTATGTATTAAACGTTTTGTTTATTTATTCTGTGATAGAACAGTGATTAACATTGTATCAGATAATATTTTTATTTAACAAATTGTGATTTTTTTAAGAAGTGATGATCATCTTTTTTTACTGCCAGGAAAATGTAAGTTTTTGTTCCTCCTTTTTCTTTGTTTTGTTCAACTCCATTCCTCCCGAGCCCTGCAACAGTTGTAGTTTTTTGATGTTAACTTTAGGTGCTTAGATAAGACGATGGAATATATTCATTATTCATTTTTAAAAAATAAATAACTTGTCTCTACAGTATATACTAAATTCTAGTTGGATTTTGAATGTTTAATAGTTTATATGCTAGACAAGTGTACTTATCAGGCTTGGAAATAAAACAAAATATATATTATTATCAAAGTTAAAGAAAAGAACTAGTATGTAAAAGAAGAGATTGTATCAGTAGGAATACCTTCGTGATAAAAATGTTTAGTAAGAAGGGATAGTTAACATTGTTAGCAACGCATAAAATCAAAAACATTGTTTTTTTTTCTTTACATTATTTGCCAGATATGTATTTATCATGTGGCTCAAGTGTACGATAATTTTGAAATAATTATTTTCTCCAAGGAAAAAATGTCAATTTTGTTTTAAATACCTTGAAAACTGTTACAAAAAGAGATAGTTAATATGATAAAACAATTTAAAGTCCGACTAATTTTTGTAAGTAAAGGTATTTATAAAGGTTTTTTTTTTTTTTTAATTTTGAATTTCTTCTCTAAATGTTGTGATGTAGTTTTACCATGAATAGTCGTAAAAAGAAGTCAAATGTGACTAGGTGTGTAAAAAGAGCAATGAGAATGGAGAAATGCTTTTTAAGGGAACATTTTCCGTTCCTTAAGTTTCATAAAGGAGTTACAAATGTACAAATATGTTTAGTTAATAAAGTTGTTTTTATATGGTAATTTTTTTGTCTACCGTTTTACTTAATAATAAAAGAAAATTTCTTAACCTGATTACCAATGATGACCCCAGCCATAAACAGCTTATTTGTTACATGCCAATTAATTTGTTTTTATAATTTCAGATTTTTGGCTTAATAAGAAACCCAACCCTCAATCGGTAGACAGTATTAATAAATATCCGAATATTAAATAATCATAAAAATACGGTGGTGAAACAAGAGAAACGGGATTGACATTGAATCCCATTAACTCAAGTGTTGAAATGTAAGATCTCTAATCAGTAAAGTATGTTTTACATTTATTTGGCTACAATATTTTTAATGTAAATAATTCAATTTTATAATAAAGTTTTAAAATTAAAATAGGCACCTTTGTCCACAGGTAGTTAAGGTATGGTACAAAAACTCATCATTGTAAGGTCACAATTTCCAATTTTAGCAATCCTGAATTTGAATCCAAAGTGCTTTTTCGAAAACAAAAAAGATGCAAAACACTTGAGCGCCTCAATTATTCAATATTTGATTCCTTGAACAACTGCAAAGCTGTCTGCAAGTTTCAACCCTGGGTTTCTTTTGCAAAACTGACAGAATTCAACTGCTTGTGCTTGTACTTTTCTTCTAAGGCTTTGCCAATGTAATAGAAGCAAGTGCAAAAGAGGAAAAATGAATACATTAGATCATACACATGGGTAAAATAATCTTACTGATTTATATAAGCTTAAATCTGCATACTTATGTACATCACGTATGCATTCGAGTACGGAATTGAGCATATCACTTCCAACAGTCTTCTGGCAATTTCAGCTTTTATATTTTACAATAAATTACTTGCAAGAATCAGGTTTTGCCTCTGCTAAGGTTTTCCACCAGGGATTATCAACAGCTAGGTCATTTCAACCCCCAACGCATTCAGTTCCTAAATCCATTCACACTCTCACTTACCCTTAAGTACATTCTTACTTATTTACATACCATTCACTCAAGGTAGTGGAGTACTCAATATTCCATCATCAGCCCTCACACACTACACATTTACGCTAATAAATACATTCATTTCAACACACACAAGGGGTACAAAACTATTATACTATGTACAACAAAACAATCCTGTTTCCTCCAAGAATCGGAAGCACAATTCTCATATCGGTGGCATTCTTTACGTGCTCTTTATGAGGAACCGTCGTGGAATTGTCCCTTCAATTAGGTAGGTCACATCGATCAACCTTTATCTGCATGCAGCGCATACATATACGGCTTTGGCCTAAAAGTGTCAACCTTGCATGGCCTATTGTTAATCAGGTGAGGATGACTTCTACAAATCTGATCTTACAATGAATTGTTGAAAGGTTAATAAAACATATAAACATCCAATTATTAGACTAAATGAATCAGTAGTGAAAACGAAAAGGACATAAAAACATATCTAAATGCTCCACATAGACTTATCCCGGTATTTTTCACTTGAAAATGGTAAACGAAAATGTGAGAGATCTCTCAACACGACATGCAAGAATGGCACAATTACACAGAAGACAAACACCTTGAGCCCTGAAGATGATCTCAATAAAGATCGAAACGTTGGCACGATAAAGAAAATGTTTTTCTGAAACCTACATCAAACCAGACCGCATCTCACGATTTCGGAATAATAATTGTTGTTACTTATCCGGAAGTATGATATATGGGTGGGATTCATGAAATAGTCATCCCGATGTGGCCTATTCTTAATCTCGAAATTACATCTCCCTGCCTTGTTTGTCGATTTGTCATTGCTGGGCATCGGATCAGTATTCATTTGTTTTTTCATGGCTGCCATTTTGTCACATTTTCCTCACTGTAACTTTCAAAATTGTAACAAAACAGTGGCAAGGCGTTTTGTTTATCTTCTGATACATTCTTTGCGTGTTTTTCCCAGGAACATGGTTACCTGCATGAATTCAGATCATGTAGGAAAGAGGAACAACTATTTTTCAGTGACTATCGTCAATTTGATGTAGTGTAATTCGATATAAAATAAAATAAATTTACGAGATCCTTTTTCCATCAAGATTTGAAATAATAGTAAATTTTAAAAAAAATTGATTAGTTACATATTTGTTTGTAGGAAATTTTGTAAAACAAGGTACGAATTTGCATAGGGGTTTAGAGAGAATAAGGCTTCTACATCAATGGCTTTTTAAAAATGGTATGATTTTACTGACACCCCAATTCGGTTTTTCTTAAGATGGAGAATTTATTCAACAATCCGATATTCGGGCTTAGCCCAGCAAGGGCAAACGGACAAGAGAAAAACAGTTTTTGTTTGTTCTTCTGTCAAAAGTTCATCAACTCGCGGATAATTTCAGCAAAATTTAACAATAACATGTTTTATCTCCTGGGCCGCTGAGAATTATCACGATTATCAACCACTCGTGATTTTCTGTCTTGGAAGATCTTTGTAACAAAAATTTATCAGTATTGACGATTACAAAAACGAAATACACGTCCTCATTGTTTTTGAGTAAACATAATATAACACGTAAAAAGAGGGAAAAGGATAATTTTTATTGTAACGGTTTAATAAAGAAAAAATATCACCAGAATTGGGTTCTTACAAGGCGCTAACATAGAACATTGAACATACGTTTGTTGATTCAGAAAACGAGTAACATTCGAATTTTTCTTTCTTCTCCGAGCAAACAATTGTAATTTCATGATCTTCTGATTCAACTAGTTAATTTGCATAGATAGGTCACCTAGTTAATACTCTTTTTCTCCTAGCTATTACAAAACAGTCCCTTTTACTGCTTAATCTCTGGTCAATGCTTATTCACCCAAGAGCCTTGGCTTTATGCATACTATTGCCTATGGCTTTTCTCCATTTGAGCCTTTGGCCTAGGGTATACCTAGGTACTATGGAAAATATCATGGCTTCATCCTTTATAGAGGGTGCGTTTCGATTTAGCTTCCTTCATCTTGTGTACTATTGCCAAATGTTAAATGTTGCAGAGTAAGATGTAAAATAAAGAAAAAAGAAGTTTTTCTCCCATGTGCAGTTTGATCCTGTTATTCTTATCCGTTTTCTCCGGATGTTTACGTTGTTTTTAACCTTTCAATATTTTTGTCTAATATTAACAAGAAAAAATATGTAAGAGAGGGTTAAATATTATGCAGGGTGGGCGACCAAGACCCGAGGGGTTAAATGCCTGGGTAGACTCGTACCCCATCCCTAAAAGGTCCGGGACTTGGTCGGCTCACGTGTGCATAAACCTCTTGGACCTGTTCACAAACCCCAAGATTTTGGACCATTTAATCTCGGGGAGAGATTTGGTGATGTCCTCTCCTTCAAAAGTTTCGAATCTAGACCTACCTATCACATTCTGCGAGGTAGTGCCTTGCTGTTTCTTCTTTTATTTCGCATAAACGGCAAAAGGGATCTGGTAGAATACCCATTACGGAGAGGTGTCTTCTCAGTGGGCCTGTCAGGATACATATCAGCCTCCTAATTCCCTTCCTTGAGTTAGAGAATAGCCATTTCGATTCTGCCGGTTTGATCTCCTTAACAAACTCCTTCGATTGCCTGTGTCTGGGGGATAAATTTCATTCCTTAAGAAATTGTTTCATACCCCAGTTTTTAATACTCTCTTTCGCTGTGTTCATAGAGTGAGGTAATACCGGTTGTGGCCCGACAAGTGGCCACTGGGCAAGTGCTGTAGCATCAGCACAACGAAGAACATTAGAAACAGCGCAGCGAAAAATACTTCTAAAAATCAGTAAAGCATACCGTACTGCTCCCACGGAAGCTCTCTGTGTAATTGCCGGAGTAATCCCAATTATATTAGAAGTTGAAAAACGGCGTAGAATCTATGAAGAAACGCAAGGAATGGAACCGGCCGAAAAGAAAGACATTATCAACATAATTCATCTGGCCACAATTACGCGATGGCAGAGACGATGGGATGAAACCGACAAAGGCCGTCGTACCCATCAGCTTATGCCTTCTATAAGTGACAGACTGAAACGTAAATATGTCGAGACAGACCATTATATGACCCAAATGTTCACGGGGCATGGTGATTTTGGGACGTATTTGTGTAAATTCGGCATGCGGAACACGGCGGAGTGCCCTCAGTGCTCTAATGGCTCTGAAGAGACACCAGACCACACTTTTTCGGAGTACCCAGCTTATTCTACTGCAAGAAGCAGATGGTTAAAGGAAACTCCATCGAGTGTGACGTCCAAGCAATATCCAGTGCAATGATGTCAAAGGAAGGATTCGCGGCCACCAAACGCTTTGTGTATCAGGTGATGACAATAAAAGGATGGCCAACACCACCCAACTATGACGAATAAGTGTAAGTGTTAATCTAAGTAACAGTGAGTGATAAATTAGATTTAATTGTATATTGTATATATAGTATTAGCATATTGTAGTTTATTGTATATATATTATTAGTATGTACGAGGGGTGCCCACTCTTTTTCTCTCCTGGGCGGGGTTCAGTGAACGGGGAGATTGGGCACCTCTCATTAGCACGTAAGATATATGTAAGGTGCGACCCTCACGTCATATCCCGACCAGGCACCTCCCCGTGATTCATCCTGGGCACGGCTCCAGTCGTGGCTAACCCCTGGTTGGGCCTTCAGGGGTATATGGTTGCACGACCATCCTGTGTAAGTCCGGAAACGGACATAGGAACAGGCAGCCTTAGACCTTCGAAGGTTGTGGCCCGACAAATGCAGTATTAGAGCCTTCTTCGGCCAGGCTATCCGCCTCTTCATTGCCATAGTGTCCTTTATGTGCTGGTATCCAAATAAGGGTTACCCTGTTCTCAAACCTGGAAGTGATTCTATCGATAAGATCTACAGTTTCCTCCACCAGTCTAGATGTTAAATCTTTTGTAATGACCTAAGACTAGCCTGACTGTCAGAAAAAATTCTAATATCTTTTCCCTTGATTTTATTTTCCATAAGTGTTCTACAACACACATTAATGGCCCAGATTTCCGCCTGAAAAACGGAAGTGTTATCGCCAAGAGGAGATGCTGATTCCTAATTTAGGTATGCAGATTCCTGCACCGCTCCCTTTACCTTTGATAAGTGAACCATCTGTATAGCAGTTTACGTTACGATGGTCATCATCCACACTATAGTTATATTCACAAGGAGTGGCTACCTGAAAGTACTTTTTCCTCGAAGGGGTTTTAACCTTTTTATGGCTAACGCTTAATCATTGGCCGTTAACCTTACTCAATAGTTGTATATAATTAATATACTCAACCCGCTTGTTAAAAAAAGTCTCCTCTATCTCAATTCTTTTCTATTGCCAATATGTCTCTTTCTTAAAGCCTGGTATTGTTGTATTTAGTAAGTATTGCGATGTTCAGGTAAAAACATATTGGGTTGTCCGGAAAATAATGCAGGATTTTGGTATTAAACAAAAAAAAAGAAACTAGTTACTTTAAAGCAATGTTCTTTAATCAAAATAATTTCCCATACTCTCAATACATTTCTCCCAACGTGTTGGTAACTTATTAATTCCGTCTGAGTAGAATTCAGAATTTTTAGAATTGATAAAGTCAATAAATGCATTTTCCAGTTCCGTTTGATTTTTGAATATTATGTGTTGTAAGTAGTGGTCCAGGTGTCTAAAAAAATGGTAGTCAGTAGGCGAGAGGTCCGGAGAGTAGGGTGGGTGAGGCAAAGTTTCATAGCCAAGCTCCAATAATTTTTGTGACGTTACACGTGACACATGTGGTCGAGCGTTGTCATGCAACAAAATGGGCCCTTTCCGATTGACCAAAGAGGGCTTCATTACTGCCAATTTCTGATGCATGGTATTAATTTGGTTACAGTATGATTCAGCATTGATGGTTTCGCCAGGATTTAAGAAGCTGTAGTGTATTAAACCAAATGAAGCCCACCATACCGTAACCATTACCTTTTTTTGATGAGTTGGGGGCTTTGGAAAATGTATTGGAGCTTCTCCTTTGTCGAGCCACTGTCCAGAACGTCTAGTGTTATCGTAGAGAATCCACTTTTCGTCACATGTAACAATTCTGGCCAGAAATGGGTCATTTTTGTTTCGACAAAGAAGTGATGCACAAACATCAAAGCGCTGATTTTTTTGGCGATCGTTTAATGAGTGTGGAACCCAATTTTCGAGTTTTTTCACTTTTCCAATCGCCTTGAGGTGGTCAGCAAGTTCTCGAACAGTTGTTTTGGGGTTTTCTTCCACCACTGATCGCAGAACATCATCATTAAGAGAGGAAGGCCTTCCACGACCTTCTTCATCTTCAAGGCTGAAATCTCCCTCCCGAAATTTTTTAAACCACCTTTGCACAGTGCACTCATTAACACAACCCTCGCCCCAGACTTGGTTAATGTTTCTAGCCGTTTGGGCTCCGCTTCGGCCGAGTTTAAACTCGTAAAAGAAAATCGTACGAAATTCTCGCTTTGACATTATAAGGATGACTGAATTATTTCCAAGTAGCGGAATGCTACAGAGGTAAACAAACAATATCATTTGGAAGAGGATTAATAAGTGTTGACATTCATACAAATGAGTAATCCTGTAAACGTAAACAGAATATTTTATATAGATTTTTTTTAATGAAAACTTAAAATCCTGCATTATTTTCCGGACAACCCAATACTTGTGTTTTTCTTAACGAAGTAGAAGAAACTGGCGTGTATCTTGGTATAGTATCAGAATCGAGCATGTTATATTTCATGTGTATCCTCATTCTACCTAATATGGACTTCCTGAACCGTCTTATCAATGTGCGTAACACGATTTTTTAAATTGTTCAACCACTTTTGAACAAGTGTTGCTTACACATCTTCAATAATTTATTATTGTATTAATTAACTTTGTGGTGATTAATTAGCAAACAATATGAAAGTTAGATTTATATTTCAGTTGAACTTTGTTGCTCTGTTATCTCACAGTCTACGAAAGATTGCAATAATACTGTAGTGTTTACTAGGTGCTGCTGAATGCTCGATATGCAATAAAATAATTACTCAAAACTTTAAAAAAATGTAAACAAATAAACCAATTGACTTGAGCATTTTTTATTTAAATTTATTTATTTTTTCTATTTATTAAGCAGTAGTCAGAAGTTGTTTGGGACCTTAACAAAGATAGCTCTATAGCGAGTAGCCAAGTATTTTGTCATCTGATTCCAGCCATGACCATCCAGGAGTCCAATAGCCTCATCCAGCATAAGTGTTAGGCAGTTGAAAGGAAATGAAGTCGCTCGTGTAAAACAAGTACACAGAAAGTGGAATAGGTCTTCTCGCTGTAGGAGAGAACATAGCTCCGAAATAGTTGTTGTTTAACTTTAAAAATGACAAGTTCACCCCATAAGTTAAACAACTACTATTTCGGAGCTATGTTCTCTCCTACAGCGAGATCTGTACCACTTTCTGTGTACTTGTCTTACACGAGCGACTTCATTTCCTTTCAACTGCCTAACACTTATGCTGGATGAGGCTATTGGACTCCTGGATGATCATGGCTGGAATCAGATGACAAAATACTTGGCTACTCGCTATAAAGCTATCTATGTTAATATCCAAAACAACTTCTGACTACTGCTTAAAAAATCTGTCGGGCTGTCTAAATAAGCATCTTTCGTGTATAAATCCATTACAGGTTCCCTTCGTCGCGCACTTCACACCTGGAGCCGGTTCTCCATAAAGTGTAAAGTTTTCTGAAGTCACCGCTCTTGAGCGAAAGAAGCGTTCTTTTCCTCTTTGAACCCCGACAATATCTTTTTCACAACTTGTAATACGTTCGGTTTGAAGGAATCCAAATCATTGGAATCACCGTACTTGTCAGCCAGAGATGTCCAATCTTTTACTCAACAAATCCATCTTCTTTATGGTTTGTGTTGTCACTATTTTAGGAAGGCGTGAATCTGCCATATTAGAAATTTTTCCCATGTATTTCATGAGCAAACTTATGTTGTAGGTTGATACAATTAGAAGTGTAACTGGGTGGGTAAAACGACTTTTTTATAAATGTGTGCAACACTACCATCGTAACTTCAGTAAACAATTGAAATTTCTGTTTAATTTGAGAAATATGCAGCCTAGATTTTTATTTGGTTGTACCGTTTTAGTCTTTTTGAGAATAATTTGACGGACATGACCACAATGGGGTAAATAAAACGAAAAATACGAAAAAGAAAAGAACGATTTTTAAATTTAAAATTACAATATATACATCGAGTGTATTTACAATAGGAAGTTGGAACAATGGCTCTTATCTACAGAATGATTTCGGTGGCAAATTACAACGTTTATGGTATTATAAACTGATAGGCTGGTAATAGGAAAATTGGAAAAAGGGGTCGTGCGATGGAGATTTGAGGGTGTCCTGGGGGCTCGAAGGGTCCTGGTGTATTGCCCAGGAGTTTTTGAGGTCCTGTTGAACCACCGGCTGTTCCGCTGGGTACCAGCTTTTGATCAGCTCTGTGTTGTGATGATTGGATTCCTGAGACGAAGCCCACGATGATTCCGTCATCGACGAGTCGCCCGTGAGCACGTCCAAATCCGCGAAAGGATCGCTTGGAAACCACTTGGATTCTTCCTGATAAGATCCCGTGACCTAGGAATAAAAAAAGTTAATTTTTATATAAATTATGTAATATTTGATGTTTTATTATGTAATGTGGATTTTTTAAAATACTTATTGTCTTTTTATATTTATAATTTGTGTTAAAAAATGTGGTTTTTTATAATTTTTTGTTTAATTTTTGCGTTAAATTTTTTGGACATTTCGAAAATTTACACCCATCAGCATTTTATTTATTTATTTTTTTAAATGGAAATTTGTCATTATTAAATCCATTAGATTTCATGGTTCGATTGACCAAATAAGAAATGGCAAAAAGGAGGGAAAATTCAAAAGGTGGGTTGAGAGTTGGTGTCCGAGTGGATCGAAGTCACGATAGCTCAAGTGGTAGAGCAGCGGCATATTTAGCCGAAGGTCGTGGGTTCGAATCCCACTTGTGACAGTGACTTTTTTAACTCAACCAATACCTTACATAAAGATTAATCAATTTGTCATTATGTATAGTTTCTTTTAAAAGATTTGCATTGACAAGCCGCATGACCAAGCAACAACCTTCTTCCATCTTGGAAAAAAAAATATTGTCCACACCCAAATTTATTTTTATATTGATCCAAACAATAGTGTTACTGATTAAGAAATAAATAATGAGTATTTTTCAATTTTCTTTTTACCTGTCTTTCGCTGAGGGACCATTCTTCTTTAATGGGCCTGTGTATGGTTCCAGACCCAAGGTCCAAAAGTGTTGGCGGCGATCCACCTACGCAGTCCATCTGGCCGTTTTGAAACGACGGTTGCTGGAACAAGTCGTTGCTAGCTGGAGGCAGTCCGTAGAGGTCGTGTTCCTGCACGTACAACGGAGCTGGAGGCTGCGGAGGGAAGTACGGGTCCAAAGGCTGTACGCCGCTCTCCTCCGAATGGTGAACGTTGTGATGTCCGTGATTGTTGTTGTTGTTGTATTGGTGCTGATGCTGCTGGTTGTACCATTCCAGCTGATGGCTTGTGTCCACCTCAGGCGGCAGGTAAAGCTCGGTGTTCTCCTCCACGCCACAAACGCACTCGAAGGGAGGACAGGAGCATGAGTAACCTGAGTAATCCATTTATTAGCATCATCCGAGATTATATTACATAATAATTATTATCATGTACAATATAATTTAATACAATGTAATTTTTCGTTTGATTAATTTTTAAAGATAATTGCTTGTTTTATGAAAGGAGAAGAACAATGAATGGAATTTTTCCTATTTTAGTATTGTGTGTTTCTGGAAATTCGGAAGTTGTAAGTTCTAATGGATTTAAAAAAAATTAAAGTTTCAAGTCAAGTTCAGGTATACTTTTGTAAATCAAAGAATTACCTTTGTCATCTGGCAAAATGGGTGGTGGCATGATTTGCCTTTGGATAGCCGATTCGATTTCACAAGATGGTCTTTTAACATCACGAAGAGAGAGGAGCTGGAAAGAAAATATACAAATTAATTGATATTAATTGATTTTGATCGATGAAGTCAATATAAAATTAAAAAATTCGTCTAGTCAAAATGAAGGCAAAATAGTATAAATCGACAAGAATTTTCCTTTACGTCGAAACCTGACAAATTAAAGTGGAAGCGTCAATGTTACAACCTGTGCCTTGGTAGGCTAGACTATTACACGGGTATCAATTTATTTCTATCCCCGGCAAGAATCTGGTCCGATTCATGCTGTGTGCGCTCCCTGATGAGGAGGGGAGTGAGAAAGGCTTATTCGCATGATTGGTTTAAGAATAGCGACCGTGCAGACCCAAAGGTCATACACGTCTCACCGGCTGCATGCAGGAAATCGGTTAACGGTCAATTCACCCCATCTTAATAAATTTGCGTTAGAAACAATGAAACATACAGACTTGAGCATTCTGACAATTACACTGTTCAGATTGAAGTCAAATTTTGGTGCATTCGCCTTGGCGCTCTAAAATCGATGGAAGCTCTAAACTTGGTCTCTTAATGTACAACATTTTGGATGAATGTATAAACATTTCTTTGTTAATATTCTTGTATCTTGCAAAATGAGCAAACATCTTCTAGTTTTTTATTTATTTCAATGAAAGCCAGTGAAAACATAAAACTGTTCAAATTTCGGATTATTTTTGTGATATGAGACAACCATGTGTAGACAACCGTTGTGTCTTGCTAAATGTATTATTCTGCTATTAATAGGAATATGGGAAGGACCTTTTGAAATTTTCATCAATTGCAGTTAACTAAACAGTCTTCAGGTAGGTTATTCATAGATTTTCCAGTAAGTTTTGTGTTCTAAGAAAAAAAAACCAGAGTTATTAGATTAGCGGTTTCAATGTGCCTTGGTGGAATTCAATTTTCTCCTTCTGTGAACGCTTTTTGATCCTAAATTTTTTTTACTATCACTTCCGTTCATTTGTAGATGCTTCTATTATAAACAACCTCCTTCATCCTTGCATCCTTTGCCGACGACTCAGCTGTGCTATCCTCCCATCCCGACCAACGATTGCTTCCACGAGCAAAAGTATCCTGCAGCAGCATGAATCATTCATCCTTCGAGGCATAAACCTCTCATAAATAATCTTCAATAATACTCCCATCCTAAATACAGACTACACCCATCTAGGCTTAAGGCTAACCTGGAACCAACACACACGACTAAAACGACTTTAAGGCTAACCTGAAACCAACAAACGACTAAAACGACAGGCGTTAAACCAACGTTTCGGATTACTTTACAGACTACAGTCACGAAATCTAACATTTCAACTAAAAACAAACTGACAACCTACAAGACAATTAATTAAGGTTTTCAGTTGAGATAAAAAAGTCAATGGCACGAGGGGGATTCGAACCCACGATCTTCGGCTTGATACGCCGCTCCAGTTGGACACCAACCTGTCCACACCTTTTGAATTTGAGATGGGAGGTTGGTGTCCGAGTGATCGAGGTCACGATAGCTCAAGTGGTAGAGCAGCGGCGTGTCAAGCCGAAGATCTTAGGTTCGAATCCCGCTCGTGCCATTCACTTTTTTATCTCAACTGAAAACCTTAATTAATTGTAAGATATTAATTGGTCAAGCGGACCACGAAATTAGTGAATCTACAAGACAATACTAAAACCAAACTGGACGTACGGGTTAGAACTATGGAACACCTCTAAACTTTCAACACCCCATTAATTCAGTCCTTCCAATCCCAAGTTCTCAGAATCATAGTCTACGCTCTTTACTATGTCTCCAACATCACCTTTCACAATGACCTCAAATTCTCGTGCAAAAAAATAATCTCCCAAACAGTTTCCATTTTCCACGATAAATTTTCCTCTCACCCCATTCGAATTGACCAATCATTAGAAACTACTCTTATAATTCCACCAGACGACAGAAGAATAGATAAACGAGGATTAGTCTTAGAACATCAATGGTTGTTAAATCTTCTCACAACACGTGATTTCATTTGTAAATTCAACTCATTACATATTACATTATATATCAATTGCTATTATAGATCAACTAAAAACAAACCGACAAGCTACAAGACAGTACTAAAACCAATCTGGACGTACGGTTAAAATTGTGGGGCACCTCTAAACTTTTCAACATCCAAAGAATACAGCCCTTCCAATCCAAAATTCTCAGAATCATTGTCAATGCTCTTTATATATTTCCAACATTACCTTTCACTATGACCTCAAAATCTCGTGCAAAAAAATAATCTCGAAAACATTTTCCATTTTCTACGATAAATTCTCCTCTCACCCCATTCGAGTTGCCCAATCCAAATAAGGTTACATAATATTGTAATAAATGTTTTAAATAAAAACAATATAAGCTACTACTTCATAAGTAATGTGAATCTTAAACTTTTTATTATTATTTATTTATTTTTTTTTTTTTACGAGGGTTCGCAACAGCAGAGGTTATATCAACCCTCGGGGTGCCGGTGTTTTTGAAAAAAAAGCCCATTTGTAAGTATGTCGGGCTCGATTGCAGGGCCGCTGGATTCGAACCTGGACCTTTACGTTACTGTGATGAGCGCCGTGTCAACGCTAAACCGTTGCGGCCACCGACGCCCCTAAAAAGTCAATGGCACGAGCGGGTTTCGAACACACAACCTTCGGCTCAATACGCCGCTACTCTACCACTTGATCTATCGTGACTTCAATCTTAAATTTAGTAGAGTTTACTAAACTGGCACAACGGTTAGCAGAATCCAGACCGAGCGTCGAATGTCTATCAGGTTATACAAATTATATAGAATGTCAAAAAAAATTATTGATTTTTGTTTATTAACAATTTTGTAAACCAATTAGCATGCATTCAATGATATTAAGGATAGAAATGAGGGCAAATAAATTTGTATTATTTTGATATGCCACTTGGTGGCGGTACTGCGGAAGGTACATCTATCATAATGGCAGACTTGCGTGTCACATTTAACACGATTAGCATAGTTTGCGTGAATATCTTTTAAATTAGAGTATGTTGCATTGATCTTCACAGGCTGAATTAAAATTGCTAGATTTCATTGTGAGCTCTGTGGTATGATATTAGTTAACCACTGAATTAAAAGTGAATCATGTAAATTTTATTTATGAGATAAAAACAGTTATAAAATATACTGAAATCGATTGACTTTTAACAATGAAAGTTTCGTCTTAAGCTTACCAAATTAGTTGAATGAAACTTATATAATGAAATGCTTTTTGAAATTTATAACTTAAAAAGGAGATGGTTCGAATCTAATGTCTTAGCACCATTTTACGTCAAATTTTTGGCCGTTTAACCTTACCAAAAACCCACAATTATTGGGTTTCTTGTATGTTTGACCAGCGTGTGAAATCACGAAGCTGTTGTTAAACACACAAGAGGACATAGGATCGGAAATTAGGACCTGTCATCCCTCTTCTCGGCAATCGTTACTTTTCGCTCCGATTAAGGACCTCCCCGAAAATCCGACCTCCGCACTTTCTAATTTGCGTTTCTCTCGGTTCACCCGCATCGCATTTCGAATTCCAGCTTAGATAATCGATTCATAGGAAATTTTCAACAAGTGCAATCGTAATTAATATTTCAGGTCAATCAGAAATCATCGTTTAGCATACACTTTCCTTCATAAGGCCCCTTAGGGTGAACATTGATTTAAATGGGCTTTCCTCTTTCTCGAATCGGTGAGGAAACGTTAGAAATTTAATAGCTTTATCTTCGACTGCCATAAATATTAGGGATTTGCGTTATTATTGATTATTACATTTTGATTTATTGGACAGCTTGCCGCGTTTTTGAATACTTGCAAGTTTCTGCTACTAGTTTATACAAATATAAAAATTTGTTTGACAGGAAAGATATTTTTCATCTAAAAAATAGCTAAAATACTGATCTAAGTAAACAGAAAAAAAATCTGTGCCTTAAATTCTGGCTAAACATTGTTATAAATAAGCCAAAAAATCAGAATTTTTCAATGAAAAATTTACAAACAATGAAAAAAAAAGTAGAAACGATTTATTTTCTGGTTACTTATCGCTGTTGTAATATTTAAATATGCAATTTTTTGTTTGTTTTTTTCTCACAAAATGTTAACTAACTTAGGAGTTTTTCGATTGACTAGGTGGAGAGATGAGATGACCTGAGGATTGGAGATTCTCCCCCCGCTAAAAGACATCCCACTTTCTCCTTTTAGACGGTCGCGTATAAATCAATTACGGACCGTATGATTTGAGATGTGACTTATGGTCTGGCCATGGTCGTTTCCTTTCGTCGGCCGTAACGCTCCCGAAACACCGCCGGATTGACTGAGACGAGCCGGTTGGAAGCCCGTGGCGTGGGAGGAATACATGAATCATAAAATAAACAGTCGCATCAGGAGTAAGTTGGTTAATTCTTCCCCTTTGGCTCTTTATTCAGTTATTCAGATGGCATTCTATTCGAAAGTTATTAAAGGTTAGGAGTCCAATTGTCTTCTCTAATGATTTAACATAAAAGCACTATCCAACTGCTTACATAGAAGGGTCCAATTGGTTCATGTTTGACCTCGTGTTTTTTTATTTATTTTTACGAGGGTTCCTAACAGCAGAGGTTATATCAACCCTCGGGGTGCCGGTGTTTTTGAAAAAAAAGCCCATTTGTAAGTATGTCGGGTTCGAATGCAGGGCCGCTGGATTCGAACCCAGGACCTTTACCTCACAGTGATGAGCGCCGCGTCAACGCCTAAACCGTTGCGGCCACCGTCGCCCCTAACCTCGTGTTAACTGGCAATTTCTGTTTTCAAATTTCAAACTGTTTGTTTATAAGATTCTACCATTCCTCATCCAACTTTGTGTAAAATAAAGCATGAATCAAATCTGAAAATTGATAGATCCGATCTCCTTACACTCGACTTTGTTGACCTACAGATTGAAATAACACCAAGGTTTTAAACCAATTGTAATTCCTTTGTTTTCTGCTTAACATCGTACAAGTGAAAGAAAGGAAGCAAGTCGATTGGGATCTTCACTAGTCCTGTCAGGGCATGATCGGCCATTAGAGGCTAAGGATCAGTTCAATAATAAATCTATTATTTTACCCCAGGACAGAGTGGAAAAACAGCCCATAAAAGGACAATCGCAGAATCAAAACTGCATCAACTAAACTCAGGACGTTAGGGCTGGAAGGATAGTAGGTTGCGACTGGGCACTGCTTACTCCGGAGGCATATGTGCTCGTAGAACCAGGACCGAAACTGTGCAAACATTGCCAGGAAGAAAAGAAACAGAAATCATCTCCTCTGTTGGTGAAAAGGCCTGTACAGATTGAGGTGTTTACTCCTGGGTGAGGAAAAGCCAAGATTTAAACTAGACACATGGAAGCACTTAACAAGGTTCTGGTAAAAAATCTTAAGTTTAACGAAGAGCCCAAGACAAGATGGGGTGCACAAAACACTAATATTAGTCGCGGTGCGTAAGAACTAGTAATTTAAACTTAATCTAGATCTCGTCACTATGTTACCAATACGTGTATGGTAAAACTGGCATCCCTGAGTTTTTATTAAAATGATAAAAAATCTAGTTTGTTTGGAGTAATACATTCACTTCCTATCATTAACTTGTCAATGATGTTTTAAGCCAGAAATATGACCAGAGTCGGTTTTGAAGTGGCTCTGTGAACATTGGTTTGTGTGTTCTTACCTTACTGCTTAACGAAGTCTCTTTGGATAGCATTACTGCCAAACCTCTGACCCTTCTTCCGGCACCTAGAGATCTCCTCGCTTCCGACGTCGATTTGGCCTCCGGTCTCTGGTGGTCGTGAACCCCCTTCGCTTGGAAGAAAATCGCGTGCTCCGTGTGCCTCCAGAAATGGGTGACTGGGTAGCCGCAGTGTCCTCTGCAGGGTAGAATCTCCAACCTACCGTTGCACAACCGGTTGGGGCAAGGTTTACCTAAAAAAAGAGCGATATTCGTACTCCGAACGAAACGCAACCGGGATAAATCGATGTTTTTACCTTGTTGCTTTTTTCGGGCTTTATCACATATGGCAGGTCGTAGGTGGACTGATTCGCCGTTAGGGAGGATGCACCGCCTGGAACAGACGAGCACGCCGAGGCAAGACTTTTTAAGTATGTGGACGTTGTGATTGTTGGTGTTCCTCATCGCCCAACCCGATGAATGCCGCTTTCCTTCTTCAGACTCCGGTGGATAAACCAGTCTGCAATGACCGTCTGCCCATTCTTCGAACCTGTTATATTCCACCACCTGTAACCAACATGGATGATTTGTAAATTTCCGACGGTATATATAAAAAAAAAAATCATTATTACTATGAGTATTATACAGCTTTTATAATTACGTATTAACAATATACAGTCCATTGTCTTTAGAAGTAAACACAGTATAATAAAGTGTGGTGGCAGTTTCTCATCAAAGTTTGAAAAAATATGGTTTTGCGGAGTCAACCAATGGGTGCAAGTTTTGAAAAGATTGGGGTGACTTCAGGTTTGGCTATATACGATGAAAGACTGTTTACAGCGCACTAGCACTTTCTACTTTTGAACCTGCATATACGATTAACTGTTCACTTTGTTAACTGATCATTGTTAACCTGTATGTATCTGTCAACCGTTTAGTATGTTATAAACGACTGAAATTAGAGACATTTCAGAACAGCCTATTCAGAATGTTAACTTAAAAACAATTACTTACAACCAATTTTCAAAAGCATTCAATGAGCAAACCCATCTGGATATAACATTTCCAAAATTGTGCAGTAGCGATTCTTATTCTTCAGGTTTCCCCTCCTTATCTTTTAATTCAGACGAGACGAGATCAATTTCCGAGATCAGTCATAATTAACTAATAAAAGACTTTTTTTTGTTAAAGATTTTTTTTTCTTTCTTTATTCCACGGTCATCAATTACGAAGGAAAACGAGGGATCAAAGCCGGCCGCCCCTACCAACAGCGTCAATTGGTTTCAATTGGTGGCGCATTCTTATTGGTGAGGGTGGTTCTTTCAGAAGGCAATTGAGAGCTTAACGAAGTCCCCATCTGGTGTTTAGACTTATTCATACGGCCATAATCATGATTTTTCATGAGGTGTTTTCAGTTCAACAGATAGCCAGGAATGCGGGGCAATTGGCACAGTCTAGCCGGGAAAAGAACATCTTTTGACAGAAAGCTTGTGAATCCCCCCTGACATTAGCACACACACACACACACACACCTATAAATTCATATATANTTTAGCCGATGGTCGTGGGTTCGAATCCCGCTCGTGACACTAGCTTTTTCATTTCAACCAATACCTTACATAAAGATTAATTAATTGAAAGAAGTTATTGGCCAATTGGACCACAAAATCTAATAAATGTAATGTTAAATTAAGTATATCTTCACTAAAGCTCTCTGTGGCCATTTCATTTATCGCCGCATTTGAAAAATGGCAAAAAGGAGGGAAAATTTGAAATGGTAGAGCTAGCTCAAGTGGTAGAGCAGTGGCGTATTTAGCCGAAGGTCTTGCGTTCGAATCCTGCTCGTGACACTAGCTTTTTCATTTCAAACAATACCTTACATAATGATTAATTAATTGAAAGATGTTATTTAGTCAATCGGATCACGAAATATAATGGATTATTTTTTCAAATCATTCTTATCTCAAAATGTATACTTTGAATACCCCAAAAGAACTTTAGAGTTGTTCATATATTTTCATGATTTCTTTAAGTTCACTAATTTCGTGGTCCGCTTGACCAATTAAATAATTACAATTAATTAAGGTTTTTAGTTGAGATGAAAAAAAAGTTAATGGCACAAGCGGGATCGAACCCACGATCCGGCTAGATACGCCGCTGCTCTACCACTTGAGCTATCGTGACCTCGATCCACTCGGACACCAACTTCCTATCTCAACCCCACCTTATGAGTTTTCCCTCCTTTTTGACATTTTTCAAGGTGGGTCATAAGGTGGGGTTGAGATAGGAAGTTGGTGTCCGAGTGGATCGAGGTCACGATAGCTCAAGTGGTAGAGCATTAGCGTATCTAGCCGAAGATCGTGGGTTCGAATCCCGCTCGTGCCATTAACTTTTTTTCATCTCAACTAAAAACCTTAATTAATTGTAATATTTTCATGATATTGATTACAATATTACTTGATATATTTCCGATTTACCAAGATTTTATATTTATTATGTTCAGATGTACAGTAACGGTGTTGTTCTTTAATCCTTGTGTTTTTGTAGAAGTATTGTAGAAATTTCAACTCATTGATTTACCTTTTGAAACTGACCAATCGGAAGTTTTTTGAAATAGTTTAGACTTTCTGACAACCGATATACCGGGATTTATTCACCTGTAATTATTATGAATAATAAATTGATTTGTAATCACCCCGAGGCCTGAACCACCCATGTTGTTATTAATGAAACATCAATTCTATGGAAATAAACAATAAAGTTATAAATTAAGTCCCGGGGATTTGTAAAGGCAGATCATTCTTCAATATGCGTTTCGATATCTAGAAATTATAATTTCATTAATTGGGTGAAAGATAACAATGGGTTTGGTATTTGATTTGCAAATGTAACGGCCTTTTCCAGAGAAGGGGATCTAAATCCACACCCACATTGGCGTCTCTCATCCTCAACGGCCACTATCGTCTTTTCTATCTACATCCATCCAGAGACGCCAAATAATTAATTTCCTCTTATATTTTGGGTGCATTGCAATTACAGGCGCTTATTAATGACCACTGGTCTATCTATTGTCTTCTAGGAGACGAAAGTCAATAATACTTAAATAATGGGGGTGCTACTTTGGCTACTTGGAATTAATTACGTTTAAATAAAACATTAAGTAATTGTTAAAAATTGTAGTCGGGGGCGTCGGTGGCCGCAACGGTTTAAGCGTTGACACGGCGCTCATCACTGTAAGGTAAAAAGGACCCGGGTTCGAATCCATCGCCCATGCTTTCGAACCCGACATACTTACAAATGGGCTTTTTTTCAAAAACACCGGCACCCTGAGGGTTGATATGACCTCTGCTGTTGCGAACCCTCGTAAAAAAACAAAAATAAAAAAACAAAAAACAGATTGCATTACNTGAATTCCAACCGTGGAACTGTATTCCACGGTGTATAATACACATACTATACAGGGTCCTTTTTAGATGGCCCAGCTGAATTTTTCTTGGACCAATGACCAATAAAAAAAAAGTGTTTAATATTTTTTAATCTAGTTTCAAATTATTACCTTTTTTTGGAAAAAAATTATACAGGGCATCTCAGGCCCAGTTCAACTTCAAAATTTCAAATACAACCCTAAACATCCTGACATATCATTTCAAAGGATTTATTACTCTGAAAACAATGGTGCAGTCGGATTTTAATTTGGTCAAAAAATGACAAAGTTATGGCACAACTTATTCGTTTGTTTCGGTATTCCATTCAAAATGAAACGAATTTTTTTCGATCAACAGCGAGTTGATCTGTACGACTGCTGTATTGATAGTGGTGGTATTGCGTCGTGCAGTCGAGGTGTACTCCCAGAAATTTTCTAATTACCCCAGAGAACACCACAAATGCCATTAGAGGTGAACCTGATTCATCAGTCCATAGGACCTATGGAAGAACGTTTTCTTCAGCCTCCCAAATCGACATTTATGCAAGGAACGTTTGGCGTCTGTCATAATCGGAATCAAGATGAGGGCGATACGGCTTAAAATTGTAAGTCCGGGGTACATCTCTAACTTTATTTTTTGAAAAACCGAAATACCTCCCAACATTTCGGAGAGAGGAATTCGGAATTTCGCGAACACGGAGTAAAATATTCAGCTCCTCGTTGAAATTATGCTGCCGGTTTCTTGGTGATGGAACAGCAACTGATCCGTATCTTTCCTGGGAGGAAGGAAATTTCTGGGAGTACGACTCGACTGCACGACGCACAATACCATCACTTTACGTATAAAGCAGTCGAACATATCAACTCACTGTTGATCGAAAAAAATTCGGTTAATTTTGGATGGAATACTGAATGTAATGATATTCTAAAATTTTCTTCCAGGAATTAAGATTTGCCCTCATACAATGCAAGTTTGATATGATATAATTTAATTAAGGCAATTAATTTTTACTTTAGTGAAGAAGCAAATTGTTGGAATTAACAACGAAACAAAGGAAATGTGTTTTGGTAAACTTGTTGCCATAAATTTGTCATTTTTTGACCAATTTAATATCCATTTGCACCATTGTTTTCAGAGTAAAAAAATCCTCTAAAATGATTTGTCCGGGTGTATAGGGTCGTATTTGAAATTTTGAAGTTAAACACGGCCTGAGAGGTACCTTGTATTATTTTTCTCCAAAAAAGGTAAAAATTTGAAACTAGATTAAAAAAAGATTAAACACGTATTTGTAATTTTTTTGGTAGCGTCATTGGTTCAAGAGAAATTCAGCTGGGCCAGACCATCTAAAAGGGACAACCTTTGTAAGCATATACTACTTATTATACTTACTTATTGAGTCTGAATGTATTTATTAGCGTAATGTGTAGTGTGGGAGGGCCGACGGCTGAATATCGAATACCTTCATCGATCTTCAATATGATTAGTTATATATGTGTCGAGGGTGATGGAGAAATATCAAGTAACCACCACCCTTAATGATTGGCATGAAATTGGGACTGATGAAAATAATGCAATCATCAACATGAAATAGCTGTTGATAACCCCTCGAGCCCATCCTCAGAGGCTCGACGGATAAGAGTGAGGTTTGACATCCAGAATGAACGATTCTTGAGGCCTGACCGTAATTTATTGCAAATTTCACAAAAGCTGGATTAGAATTTATTAAACTTTAGCAATGACTATTTTTCGAATGCTCAGCTAATAGTTCGAAATGAATAGATGTTCTAAACAGTAAACTGGACGTGAAGATCTTCTTGAGTTGAAATGTTCTTTCGGCTTGTGCATGATTTAAACGCACCATAAAACCAAATAAACTACTAAGTGACAAATATTTTAACAAAGCAGGTGGAAGTAAACAGTATCTTGGTTATGCAATTGTAAATTACATATATTTACAGACTAATCACATTCTTTTCTTTTTCAATTTTAGGAAGACTTATAAGTAGTGAGCTCGTAGCTTGAGATGGAACTGATGATGCTTGTCTACATAGGGACAGGGATAAAAGAGGAGGCCACAAGGCCTTCTGCACCTCGGCCTGAGTAGATTGTCCTCCCCTGTTTTTTTATAACAAACTGGCTAGCTTCAGGTTGTAAATCAACCTCCATAGTGTAGGATATTGCTTGTGGTTTTTCCTGCCCCAGTTGGAAGAACCTGGACCTACACAGACCTTCCCAAAAACATAAAATGTATTCTCCTCCTCTTCCTGGCAATATCTGCACAGTGTTTCTTCTGTCTATACTTCTATCCGGTGCATGTGCTTTCTTAAATGGCAGTTCCCTGTCAGGAGGCCTACCAGAATCTTGGTTGCGATTGCCTTCCAGTAATTTCTTTGTAGGTTTTGCGGATGGCCCTTCTATGAATCTCTTGGCGTGCCTCATGCCTGTGGTATTGTTCCAGCAGGTTTGCTTGTCTTCATGGATTTCTATTAATCTTATATTTATAACAATCTAAGTTTTCTTAGTTTGAAAAGATATTTTATCTGCATTTCAACTCTCTACTGAAACTTCTTTAGTTTGTATATTTATGAAAAATTTTATGTAGTTTTTTTAACGAAAGAAACTTCTTTCTACTTTCTTCATCTACGATACTTTAAAATCATTTTCGTTTTTGAACAAACAGGGATGATAATTAACGATTGAATACTCATCCGAATAGACGCAGAAAGACCTGGATCCTCGAGATGTGCCTCAGGTGTGAGACAGCTTTAAAATAATCCGAGAATCCAAGAATTTTAATTTTTGAAATTTTTGTTTTTAGGCTCCACTTACCCTCGGTACGTTTGAATCATTGATATCCCATTCCTGGTGTCTGGAAATCCTCGGGTATCCTGTCATGCCTGACGTATCCGATTCGTTTCTGGAAAAGTAAAATTACTATAAACAAATTTTATCAGTTTGTACACTAAAAGAACTGAAGAAAAAGATTTAGACTACGGATTAGACGATTGTAGAATGCTTTTTAAAATGTAAATTTCAGAATTTTTTTTGCTTTCTTCGTCAACCTACTTCCATACCATGTTGATACTTGTTTATGCCAAAGGGATTTTATTTTCCTTTTGGGATGTATTATTAGTACAATGTATTTGTTTATAACAATATTTGAAATTTTGTAACCTTTGAATATGATCCTTGCTCAGTAGGAATATTTTTTATACGATGACCTCAGTTTATTGTTAATAAACGAAAATTGCAACTGTAGAACCCTCTTAGAGGAGAAAGGTGAAAGATGTCATTTCTCCAAATGCGATTGTTTTCATATCTCACTCCACCTGGCTTCGTTCAACCCACGGTCCTTTTTTCAGCTCTTGTCACCTGTCCTCTTCTCTCATTACCATCCTCTGTCTATCAGCTGTCGGTCGACTGTCTCCTAGACGCACCTCTTTCGTCTCTTCGCAGTTCCTAAGGCGAATACTGCCGGGCTAACAGGTGCGTACCAACAGACAAGTGCAGGATCGAATAACAAATCGTTTGTTACCGGCCCCGAATAACTAATTGTTACCTTGTGGGATATTGGATGTATAAAAACCGGTTCATTTATAACCGGTGAAACAAATCTGGCCTGTTATTATCCGGTAAAAGTTTTCTTTACAATCTTACTTCTGATTCTTTTAGAATTCGAATTTTTCACCCGACGTTATACGGCTTCCTTCGACACTCCGCTATTTTAAACATTAATCGTCCAGTCAGATGGATACAACTCTGGTTTATGCTTCTCGGGCCGTTTGAGACTTATCGATCTCTATTTATTTACCGACGGGTTAATTGACGAGTTCGTTCGTTTTATAAACTAAAGCAGGACGTTACAATTTATATAAGCGTGCATTTTTGGAGTCGGCTGGTTTTCCACCATCTTTGACTGTCTATCGCTGAGCTTGACTGTCGCCTTTTGTCATCTCGTCATCTTCAGTGATGCGTCGTATTAGACCAAAAAAGCTCATAGTTTGGATTGTTCCGGTCTTTTTAATCTGCCAATTTTCACTTCTGCCAGGCGTTAAGCTTAGTGGAACGAACAGCTAAAAATTAATTTAAATTTTACTTCATTGAAGTTTTGGTGTTTTTTACATTTTTATTGCGTATTATTGTTATTAATTAAATTCACTAATTTCGTGGCCCGCTTGACCAATTAAATCATTAGAATTAATTAAGGTTTTTAGTTGAGATGAAAAAAAGTTAATGGCACGAGCGGGATACGAACCCACGATCTTCGGCTTGATACGCCGCTGCTCTACCACTTGAGCTATCGTGACCTCGATGATCCTTGAAAATGGCAAAAAGGAGGGAAAACTCATAAGGTGGGGTTGAGATAGGAAGTTGATGTCCGAGTGGATCGAGGTCACGATAGCTCAAGTGGTAGAGCAGCGGCGTATCAAGCCGAAGATCGTGGGTTCGAATCCCGCTCGTTCCATTAACTTTTTTTCATCTCAACTAAAAACCTTAATTAATTGTAATTGTTATTAATACGTCTGTCAGAAATGTTTAGGTTTTCTCGCTACGCCCTGCTGACCAACCGCTGAAGATAGAGAGCCAAGCTGTAGTTACGTTTACTTCATTGAACTTATGACATTATTTACGTTTTTATTACGTATTATTATTATTAATACGTCTGTCAGAAATGGTTAGGTTTTCTCGCTTCAACCTGCTGACCAACCGCTGAAGATTGACAGCCAAGATTAGCGAAAGAAGGAAGAGCTAACGCACCTCAAGACGAAATTTCACAATATTCTGTGTTCTTTCATTTCTTGCAGTATTTTGGGTGAGTTGTTTTTTACACAATACAATAAAATACAACTTTATAATACTCACCAGTACAATGATTATGTTTTTTTGCCGAGTGGTTAGCGTGAGAGACTCTTGGCTCATAGATGCCGCGGTCGTGGGTTCGATTCCCACCGTCGCCTCTGGCCCTTTTTTCACGATAACCCCCCCCCCCAAATATGAACACACATACAAGAATTCGACAACATGATTAATATGCATAGATCGTAAGACCAAAAAAAAATAAATAAATAAATAAAAATAAAGAAAATGAACCTTATGACTTCCAGATTCAGATTTCCATTATTTACTTATAAATTTTATTATTATTTAACTATCATGCATTATAATTGAATATTTTCGATGTTTTTCGAGGTAAATAAAAATACTTAATTTCTTCAAACTCCTGTTTTTCTTCTATACTTTATTCACCATAGTTTTTCATCACAGTTTTTTTTGGGGCTCCGCAAGTACTGATTGAAAATTACTATAATCGCGAGAATCGGTATGTTGCCGAAGACCGGTATCGAAAGCCCGAGAGATGAATAAAGGTAAATGAGAATGAGTTGTGAATCGACGTGAGCTACCGTTAGGGCAGGGCGTGCCTGGGGAGATGGTAATTAATATTGTGGCCGAAGATAAGCTCGTTCATCGTCTTCTTTGACAACTGTTATTTCGGCTCCCTTGTCCGCTACCACTCCTGTTATTACAGCCGAGTGTGTATTAACTTCTCAGGAGTATAGACCTCACATGAGACGGCACATACAACATGGACACGTATCGCCGACATGAGGATGGGGCCGAAATCGGAATCTGAAGAGATTTGTCTTTCATTTTAGTCCCCCTATAAATTATCCTTCTAATCCAATGTTTAAAATGGGAAAAATAGTTTGAAATCAATATGTGTTTAATATTTTACGTTAATCAGATTTTTTTCTTGCTAAGTTGTAAAGATTGTCAATAATTTGATAGTTTTCTCTTTTGGGGTATTTCTTATTTCCTCCAGAATGAATTAAAAGTGTGTGTCCCTCAGGCGTGAATAGAATTGATCCAATTGCTCCCTCTTGTATTGAATAAACCGAAGAGCAGGAAACCCGGCGCCTTCAGGATTGATGGACGCTATCATATTAATGGCATCTTGGATATTGAAACGGCAGCAAAGGATAAAATGACATGCCTAAATAGCTATGTCCGGTATGTTTGAACATAGTTTTATTAAAGGCTGATATGTAAAGCTTCATATTTAACTATTTTTTAAAAATCTTAATGAATAGGTCTGAAATAACCATATTTATATTTGTGTAGTGTTTATTGGCCGTTAGCAATGATTATTTGGAGATCGTGAGATGCGATCTGGTGTGACGTAGATTTTAGAAAAATATTTTCTTTATCGTGTCAACGTTTAGATATTTTACAATTATTTAAGGTTTTCAGTTGAGATAAAAAAGTCAATGGCACGAGCGGGATTCGAATCCACGATTTTCGGCTGATCGTGCCGAACATGGTGGGTTCGAATCCCGCTCTTGCCATTGTCTTTTTTATCTCAACTGAAAATCTTAATTAATTGTAAGATATTAATTGGTCAAGCGGACCACGAAACTAGTGAATTTAATGAGTTTAGATCTTTATTGAGATCATCTTCAGGGCTGAAAGTGTTTATTTGCTGAAGATGATCTCAATAAAGACCGAAACGTTGACACGATAAAGAAAATGTTTTTCTAAAATCTGCGTCACACCAGATCGCATCTCAAGATCTCCAAATAATGTTTATATTGTTCTATGTACGTTTTAGGACAGACAAACTTTGGACTTGAAGAATGGTACAAACTCACGAATGCAGACTACACAATAGATAGGTTAGCTTGCAAATTTGCTAACAGTTTGATTGATACAAGTTTACATAAACGTCAGTAACCATATGACCAAGGGTGGATTTCTTTCCTCGGGTAAATACAGAAACTAACCGCATAAGCTAAAACAAAAATTGTTCAAACTCCAGGTACATAACGTAAAATCGTGGTTTTTCAAAGTATTAAACGGACGAATAAGTACTCTGAACAAATGTTTATTTAACGCAAAATTATTGTTAATTCCTGGCAGTATGAGCAGCTTTGACCATTTACAAGTTAGTTTAACCTTAGAAACCAAAAATATTTTATTTTTGTCTGAAAACATTTCCACGTGTGTTTTTTTTTTAATAAAAAGGAAGTAACTTATTACTTTTATATTATTATTTGTTTTTTAGTCTTACTTATAACATTTATTGGATGTTTCAGGAATTTACACCCATCATCCGCATCTTATTTCTATTAAATTTGTTAAATATGCTTGTTAATGCAAGATGGTCATATCTTTTAAAATAAAATATAGATAATTAAATTATAAATTTAATACGAATAAGATAGATACCGTTGGTGGGTGTAATTTCCAGAAACATCCAATAATATTAATAAGTAACGTTTAATTTACAATTTCCTTTTTCATAAAAAAAATCAAAATGTTTTCAAACAATAAACAAAAATTATTCTTATATCGTGAGATGCGGTCTGGTGTGATGTAGGTTTCAGAAAAGCATTTTCTTTATCGTGCCAACGTTTCGATCTTTATTGAGATCATCTTCAGGGCCTGGGATTTACAAACATTGATTACATTTAACAAATACATGTAGGATGTGGAAAAAAGGAATAATAAACAAAAAAATTAAATTGGAAATAGTATTAAACATTTCATGTTAAATGTTTTTTGTAAAAACTATTTTAACTTTTATAAAAAATGGTTTTGGTATTACTGTTTTTTATTGGTATGTTGCTTTTTGTTCTAATATACGTAGTTTAATGAATATTATTGTTTAAAAAGTGTTTGCATTAATGATAATAAATTAATTTAAGATATATTTCAATCAATGGGATTAACAATATAAAAGTTTAAATATTCAACGAGTCAATTTCTTTGTCAATGAATCGAAAGAGCGATGTAAATACCAACATTGTTTGGAAATTAGTTAATTATACCTCATTTTGGGAGTGTGGGCTTTTCTGTCTGTTTTTGGTCTGGCAGACGCATTTTGGCTTCTCGCTATATTCAGTGTTGGGTTACTTGTAT